TTTTCTGAGAAATCTCCAGAGTGACCTCCACAATGGTTGCACTCGTCTACACTCCCACCAACAGTGTAGGAGAGTTCCTTTTTCCCCACAGCCTCTCCAGCATTTGTTGGTGATGGTTTTCTTGATCCTGGCCATTCTTTCAGGAGTGAGATGAAATCTCAGTGTGGTTTTAATTTGCATTTCTGTAATGACCAATGATGATGAACATTTTTTCACATATTTATTTGCTGTTTGTATTTCTTTATCTGAGAATTGTTTATTTATCTCAGATGCCGATTTTTGGATGGGGTCTTTGAATTTTTGGGGTCTGATTTTTTTTTAATCCTTTATATGTTTTAGACAGAAGTCCTTTGTCTGAGGGGCAGTTCACTAAGATTTTTTCCCAGTTTGTGGGTTTTCTTCTCACCATGCTAGAGACTTCTTTTGAAGTGCAGAAACTTTTTAATAAGATGTGATCCCAGTTATTGATTCTGGGAAGTATTTCCCATGAGGTTTGAGTCCTGTTCATGAATTCTCTACCTACTCCTATATCTTCAAGGTTTTTACACAATTTGTCTTCCAATAGATTTAGTGTTTCTGTTTTAATATTTAGATCTTTGATCTGTTTAGATTTTATTTTAGTACATGGTGATAGGCATGGGTCTAGTTTTAGTTTTCGACATATGGAGAGCCAGTTTTTCCAGCACCATTTGTTAAAGAGACTGTTGTTCTCCCAGTGAATATGTTTGGCCCCTTTATCGAAAATAAGGTGGTTGAGTGTGTTTGTAGTTGTGGTTGTATCTTCCAATCGATTCCACTGATCTTCAGCTCTGTTTTGGTTCCAGTACCATGTTGATTTTACTACGGTTGTTTTGTACTATTACTTCAAGTCAGCGATTGTGATGCCTCCTGCTTTGTCTTTGCTTTGGTGCATTGAGACCATTTAAAGGTTATAACTGTTATATATTGGTTTATTATTGACCTGTTATCTTTCTGCTGTTGCATCTTTGTCTTTCAGTTCTGTTTAACTCTCTGCTTTGTTTAGTGGTTTTTTCGTAGATGCATCTAGGCTGTTTTTCAGTATTCTTTGCAGGGTTGGCTTGGTGATCATGTAGTTTTTCAGCTGTTCTTTGTCATGGAAGTATCTTACTTCTCCATCCATTTTGAAGGACAGTTTTGCAGGATACATCAGCCTAGGTTGGAAATCATTTTCCTTTGGGATCTGAAATACTTTGCTCCATGTTCTTGACTTTATTGTTTCTGCTGAGAAGTCTGCTGTGATTCTGATAGGTTTTTTTTTTTATAGGTGATCTGTCTTTTCTTTCTTACAGCTTTTAATATTCTATTCTTTTGTTCGATTTCTGGGATGGCCATTACTATATGTCTGGGTGTAGTTTTATTTTGGTTATGGTTATTTGGAGTTCTTTATGCTTCATTGATCTTGATATCGGTTTCCAATCTCATGTTTCGGAAATTTTCAGCTATTACTTCTCTAACTATCGTCTTGATATCCTTTATGTTGCTCCCTTCTTGTTCATTTATCCCTATTAACCTTATGTTGTTCCTCTTTGTGTCATCTTTCAAGTGGTGAATTATTATTTTCTGATTTCTTGTTATTTTTAAAAGGTCTTTGCTTTCCTGTTCACTGGCTGAAACCTTGTCTTCAAGGTGTGAAATTCTATCTTCATATTCTAATGTGGTTTTTACAACTTTCGATGGAGTTTTTGATTTCCTGTATATCTCTTTGCATCTGCTTTATATATTCTCTTTGTTTCTTATATTGTTCATCCAGGGATTCTATCTGTTTGTTTATCTCCTCAAATTTTTTAACTGTGTCTCCTTTAGATCTGTTCAGTGTCTCCTTCATTTCTTTTATCATTTCTTATTTTACCTGAGAGATTATTTCTAGTTTGATTTCCTTTAAGGCTTCCCTGAGTTACTTGTTTATTTCAGTTACTATTATTTCAGGTATGTGGCATATATTGTCTTCTATGCACTTGGCTCCTAGGCTTTCTTAGGATGGGCTGGATGCTTGAGACTGCATTTTGGTCTTTTGTTTTGTCATTTTCCTATATTTTTGAGCTTCAAGTATTGTTCCAAGTGAGGTAGAGAGGTCAGCCAGGCTGGGACAGAATTCCCTGCCCCCTCCTTACTCACTGATTTCGACAGGAAGCTGGATCCTGGGCCTCAGGGGAAGAAAACAGTTTGATGGGCTGGAGCAGGGTTCCCTGCCTTTGCTGGACTTACTCAACCAACAGGAAGCCAGATCCTGGGCCCCAGGGGAAGAATACAGATCACTGGGAATCTTAGTTACTTTTTTATTTCTGGGACAAAATGTCCAACACTTTCAAGTTTAAAGAAAAGAAGTTCACAGTGTTTCATTCACAGTGTTATTCCACAATTGCCTCATTTTAAGGCAAAAAGAGGATGAGAGGAAACATGGGGGAGAGAAAGGTGGTCACACATGGTAGCCAAGAATCAGCAAGAAAAATGGAGAGGTAAGAAGGAGATACACTCTTCCAGATCCTGACCCTTCTGACCGGTCCTACATATAATGATGAGAATTTCAGGGACATTTTCGATCCAAACCTTAAAATTTTTCCTGGCCCCTCAAAAACTCATGTGAATCTCATTATACAAAATGTTCTCAGTTCATCTCTAACAGTTGCCAAAATCTTTAATAGATTCAACAAGACCAACTCCAAAGTCTCATCTGAGACTTAAAGCAAATTGGTATCTGTGAGCCTATTAAAAATAAAATTAAAAATAAAGTTAAACACTTTCAGCATACAAATGCATAGGGCAAACATCATTATTCCCAAAGGAATAAATAGGCAGATGAAAAGGAACAGAATCAAAATAAGCTGATACTTAGTAGGGCAAATGTTAAGTTCTTTAGTTCCATGTTTGACACTGTGGGCAGATTGTTGTGAGACATAATCTCCAAAGGGTTTAGAAAGCTCCAGTGCTATGATCTTGCTGATTCTTCTCCCATGAATTCTTTTTTGCAATGGCTTCCATCACTACCTGTGGCATTCCTTACCAGATATTTCATGTTCTTTTTATCTCCAAATTTTGGGGCCTCCTCTGTACCTTTTGACTTTATTCTCATAGCTTCACACACTGTGCTTTTTACAAGATATGGCACAGTATCTTATCTGGTTATTCAAGTTTGCTGGCCTCCCAGGATTTCAACAATATGTGTGGAAATCTCTATTACTCCATAACTCTTGCATTTTGGATGTCCATAACCCAAGCTCTGTCAGGATGATGCCAAGGTTTCCTGCTAGCTTGATAACAAACCAGGCCTTTTCAGTCATGGCTGTAGAGGCCTCTGAGTACATGGATATCTGAAAATTGTGAAGTGAATCTCATGGATTCAGTGAAATTCAAGACACGTAAGATATGCTTGATGAAGTTTGGAACTAACAGAAATTCAGTCAGCAAAAGCTAGTCTCAATGCAAAAAATATAAAATAAAATGCTTTGTAAATTAGGCCAAAATAAAGTAGAAATGCCTTTGCTATAATTTGTTCTCTAAAACAAATTAAAACAACAAATAAAATGAGTTAAAGAAACCAAAACCTATTTTGCTTAAGGATGTGACTCAGTATTGTAGTGTCTCTTTATATATACCTTATATCAATTCTTTACTTTGAAACAAAGTCCAGTTTTGCTTATCAAACTTTTCTGTGTCCCTTATATCAAATGTAGCCTATCATGCTGAGGAAAAAAGGAAAGGCATTATTGCCACTATCAGGAGTAAACTGTAATTTTTTTGCACAGTACTGTAACACAGCTGTTTTTATGTATAGATTTTTAGTATATGCATTGATATACATGTATATGTATGTGTGTATGTATATATTTGGAAAGAGAGAGAGATTGCAATATAAATATATATTAAATATTTTACCCCTTTGGGCTAGGACCTGAAACTCAGTCCCATGCCCTTTATCACAGAAAATTCTGCTGCCTTCTCATTTGTTCATATAATTTCATAATTGTATATTCAAATTAGTTGTTGTTTCATTTTGCTTACTCATGTTTTTTTCTGTTTTATATGCCCATTCCCAATTTATGAGTATTCAGAGAGAGAGGGAGGGAGGAAAAGAGAGAGAGATAGACAGAGAGGGGGAGAGAGAGCAAGAGAGAAAGAAAGAGAGAGTTCGATTCCCTCTTGAATCTTCCCTCCCAGTTTGTTATCAAAATAGTTATTAAGAACAGAATTTGAGAGAGTTACCATAACTGAGGCTTAAAACAAAACCAGAAAACATCTATTTCTGTGTGATTCTTTATGAGTGGACAAACTGCTAGAACTGAAGCTAGGCAAATAAATAGATGAAAATGTTAAAGTTATTTTAAAATACATGGTAGGATGTTTTCAGCATTCTAAACCATTATGTACAATTAATTTCCTTCTCTAAGCTTTTTGCTGGAACTTTGCTCTATTGGTGAACAATTAGCAAGAATTCCTAGCTTCCATCTAAATAAGTAACCAGTTGTCTGAATGACTTTTTTTGGTGTGGCAAAGCAGAAACATCTCTGTGATGAGGCTCATTTATGAGGGCAGATGTTGGCCCTGATACCCAGCTAGTTTCCTGAACCCCTGGTCACTTTCTAGGGGTTCCTAAGCCTCAAAATAGTGCAAGTAAGTGTGTGCTGGATCCTAATAGAAATAACTTTCAGTGTTTCAGTTCCTTATTTTATGGGACTTGGGGCACAGACCCTCAATTCATTGTCCAAGAAAGGACTACTGCCCTTTCACCTTGGGGTGGGGCAAACTGTGTGTTCAGATGAGGTCTTCATTAACCAGGAACCCTGATGGAGGCAGGGGATTGTATGCATTTGGAAAAGTCACCCAGGCAAAAGCAATGGGTTTGTAGCTAGGTACACTGGGAGTCTTGGCACCCAAGGAACAGTATTGGTCTCTGTCCAATGGGCGGCTCAGCTCCCAGAGTACCCCACCCTTATCTCACCCTGACAGGCATCGTCACCCAACCAAGGAACAGAGGGTGCCACCTTTGCCACAGTGACTCCCAAAGCCGTGCAGTATCCTGAATATCCCTCTCCTGAAGCTCACCCTGAGTCTTCCACCAACCCAAGTGTGCATGCAGCATCTCCTGAACCCTCTGTGGTGAGTCCCCAGACCGGGAATGGAAAGGGTGTGGGCCTGTCCTAGTCTCCTATGTCCCCATGGATGGAGCATGAGGACAGAGGGATCCACAGCCCTGAGGGATACAGGGAAATAGGAAGGCATGGGAGCAGGGATACTCCAGGAGGTCTGCAGGATATGATACAACTGGAGGCCCAGCCTGGGCGCTGACTATACATACAGCTAAAGACTGAGGCGTGAGGGCCACTTGAACTGGGGAGTTTGTGGGCAACTGCAAAGCATAAAATACTATTAAAGTGACACAAGTACAGCACAGATGCTTCCTGTCATTACTTGGAATCTGCTCTCTAGGTACCATTTAGCAGTTTCCTTAACTTCTCTCAACTATTTTTTTTTTAAGTTTTTTAATCAGTGGTTGCTGAGTCACTGCCTTTGAGTTCTGAGATCCCAGCCCGTGTGATGTAAACTGCTGTGGAGTCAGTGAGTAAATTTAAGATATGTAGATGAAAGGAAAGTTTGTGGTTTTGTGTGTATATTTTATTAGAAAATAGTGCACTGCTCAATATAGAACACTGTCCTGTCATCCCTCACAGACTCCTTGGAAAGTGACTAAGAAATAGAAACTGATAATTCTCTCTCTCTCTCTCTCTCTCTCTCTCTCTCTCTCTGTCTCTCTCTCTGGGTGGGGGCATGTGTGTTTGCATGTTTCTTGTAAGTGATAAGGCTGTGCAACTGATTCTGGGTCTGGGCCAGTTGGTAAGGGTAACCCTTCTGCTTTCCTGTAAATGTGTGAAGACAAATGTAGTTGAAGCAAGATCAGGAAGAGCTTCCTCAGAAAGAAGGCCACCAGTGTTAAAAGACAAATTTGGTAGCAATAATACTTTAAAGAAACCTACCAGTCAGTTGCATTTTCTTATCCCGGGACATACGATTGTTCACGTTTGGTTCTTTTACTACAGTATTTGATTTTCTTTTTGTATTTTTCCATGAATAGTTGAGTTGAATATTTAATTATCAAAATGTATGAACTCTTAATAATTCTAATTAAGATAGAATTTTAAGCAATCAAAACAAAAAAGAACCAAACCATTAGAATACAGTTCTTTCAGTGTTTGTATTATTTCATGTTTTGTTTCCTTGCATAATAATACAAATAGAATGCCTCTTCCTTTTTCATAAAAACATAAAGATTCAACATAAAATAAAATGTTGGGTATCTTTGCTCTAGGTCCTGGATATTATTTAATAACTCCTTTCTTTTGCATCACAGAGTATTAAAGTACCATGCACTCATGCAAAATCTATTTCTGAACTTAACATTGTTGTGTAATTGCACCGTGTCTATGAAGCATTTAAAGTGATTGTGAGCATAAATGGAAGATAAATTACAGCCCAGCATGAAAATATGCCAAGAAGAAGTATATTTAGGATAGCCATAGTGGATCTAAGGGTCCTTTCTGCCTAACAAATTTGCATACTAATAAAAGGGAAACACTAGTCATATATTTTGGTGCCAATAATGGAAAAAACATGTTGGCTATTCAGTGAAGCTTTTCCTCATTTACTTTTAGAGGAAATGTCATATATGTCTATCACACGGGGATGTAGAGGAGACAGAAAATGGAATGGGGGAGCAGCCTCAGTGCTGTTCTATAACTCACATGTGCTTTCTTAAAGAGCTTGTGTTGTTGTCATCATTCTTAACCTAAGTGTTCTGGCACACATTAGGATCTGGTCCTATATGGGATTTGCCTACTGAGCCTTATTCAATAACAAAGCTAGAAATTATGGAAGGATACTTGGACCTCATGTTTCATAAACACTCTCCAAATATTTATATCAAGAAAATATTTTAAAAGTTTTTCAATTGGTGCATAGTAATTAACCATATCTATTGTGTTTATGTAACATTTAAATTCACATATATAATATGAAATGGTCACCTTAGTATAGCTCATATTTGTCACCTGAGACAATTTATCCATAGTTTTGGTGGCAGTCTGATTCTGATAGATTATGTCAAGTGAAATGATCACATTGTTTGCCTGCTGTGGCAGTAATTTTATATCAGGGTGTACATCCCTTCCTTTCTTCCAATTGTCTGTGTTTGTTGTCAATCTTCTCTGAATGATAGATGTTACTCTTTCTCTATTCAACGATGTTGGATTGCTCTGTGGCAATAATTTTGGATTGAAATGTTTCCATAAAAATTAAGGGACCCCAAAACTACTCTTTGAATATCTATAGGTGTATCAATTAGGACTCATTATAGGAATGCAGATTATATATATATATATATATATATATATATAGAGAGAGAGAGAGAGAGAGAGAGAGAGAGACAGAGACAGAGACAGAGACAGAGACTGAGAGATGTAGATATATGATATTAAATGACTAGCGGCAGATTGAGGGGTGGAAGAATGTAAAAGGACCATATGCAGGCTGGAGAGTGGGATAGTACAGTAAAATGTAGAAAACTTGTGGCTCTCTACATAGGCCTTAGTGATCTACATCAGGAAAATAAGTGTCTGCATTTAATGGATAGAGTCTGAACTGGAAGCCTAGAGATGGATCTCAAAAGGCCAAGGTGATTACTGAAACTTTTACAAAGTGTCAGAAATGGGGGTTTCTCTTTCTATTATTTTTTTCTCCATCCAGGCTGTAAGCCTATTGATTGGTGCTTTCCACATCCAGTACAGGTCTTCCTGCTTTAGTGAGTTCATCATCTGGACAAACTCAAAGCTCTACTAAAACAATAAACTAGTTATTTCTCATTCAAATTGACTCTACAGCTAACACAATCCACTCCTTGTCAAATTAGTCATCAGAAATGTTTCCTCAAGCAATTAATATGTGTCCTTTATCTTCTTAGAAGGGTCGGATTTCCCTATAATTGTTTCTATTTTTACTCTGTCCTTGCAACCAGGATGAGCCACACTAAGAGTGTTGTTTTATGGGCACAAATGTTTGCTAGTGTGCACCAACAGTTGCATTGCTGAGTGCATTGAGTTCCCTACATAGGCAGTTGAGGTCCTCTCATGCTTAAGCAATATACTTCAGGTACAAAATCAAATTCATAATTAACCAGAACATGGTATTATTTGCACACAAATGAAAATGCACTGATTTTCTCTCTCTAAGGGCCAATGTCATAGTTACTTTTCTTATTTCTGAGTTAAAATGCTGTGTCCAGCATAGCTCCCTAAGTTCCTAGGGGTTTGAGGGTGGTAAAAGGATCTTGGGAGGATGGAGAAATAAATATGAGTCATTTAAGTGTAGAAATACAGAAAGCAGAGGTCAGGTGGAGCCCTCACACTGAGTAGGAAGAAAAGAACTGCTCAACCACCACTTATTTATACATTATTTATACAGGGAACCTGCTCTGCCCAGCAACCTGCCTGCAAAGGTAGCCTCAGGACACTTCACATTCTCTGAGCTAGAGTGGCTGTTCAGTTCCTCAGCCTCAGGTGCACTTTGTTTTTGGGAAAGGCTTTGCTCCCACCCCAAACCTATGATCCACCTCCAGCTTCTGCCCTCCCCCACAAAATATGAAGCACCCTAAGTTAAAGGAGAAAAACGTTATTTCAGCTCATAATTTTTAAAGGTTGAAGTCCAAAGTCAGTTGGCTCCATGGCACGCGGCAGGAGAGAGGGGCATCAAAAATGAGAAATAGTTCATATTATGGCATGGTAGGCTGTAGTCATCAAGCCGCAGTCATAGCAAGACTTCCTTCTTTCTGTCCCTTTCTGTTCCATCCTGACTACAAACCTACTGATTGGTGCCAGCTACACCCAGGGCAGGGCTTCTATTATCTATACCTTAATCCCAGTATCATTCCTTTAATCAGTATTCTCACACCCTAATCCAAGCCTCCTTAAAACTTACACATCTAGGATTGCATGAAGGTCTGAGAGACATTTAGGTACAAGTCATGCAAAATGCAAAGTTTTTCATTGGGTGACGCTCATTACTAACATTTAAGAATTTAACCATGTATTACAGGCTTGGTAATAATTGAGAACCAGTATTAAATCTATCAAAGTTATGTTACAAAGGATGCATATTAGCAAAATAAGAGAAAACAATTACAATTTCCATCCAAGTGGTCATATGCTCATCTTGGCCTTTAGCAAGCACTTCAGCAAGTCTTTTTCTTTTTTTTTTTTTCTTTTCTTTTCTTTCTTTCCTTTTTTTTTGATGGAGGGATGGCCCATACTTTCAGTCTTGAAGGTGCTAGGTCATTTGTCATCCTATCTGGCTTGGGTTGTTATAATTTCCCTTTGACCTTATTAACCAGATGTGGTAATATTAGAAGGACTCCGAAGAGATATCTGAACTTCATACATATTCTTCACTTCATCTATAGTGGAGTAATCATCCAATTTTTGCTTGATAGTGTAAATTAATCTCCCCTATGAACATCATTACTCCCTTGTTCACAGCTTGTTCACAGCTTGTTTACAGAGGCATGTGGAGAACAAAATGACCAAAGGAAGTTTTAGATTCTAGTTCTGTGGAATCATGGTGCTTCCTGGCTCATGTCTTCCCTCATCTGGAACTAAAACTTCTAAGCCAACAGAGCAAAAGATCATGAGAAAAGAAATTAGAAATTTTGCTGGTGGAGCACTTGTAGTAATGTTGAGTGGTACTAATCCCACAAACTGTGCTGTTATGAGCATAGATGTACATATATTGCTGTGGCACAATGTTTTCAATTTTTCTGAGAAAATATTCTGAAGAGAATGGCTGAATTGAATGGGACCCCTACTATTAGCTTTTGAGGAATCTTCACACTGATTTCTGCAATAGTTATACCAGTTTGCATCCATAACAACAGTAGAGAAATGTTTCTATTCCCCCACAGTCCCACAAATATTTCTTATATGTTGATTTCTTGAGAACAGCCATTCTTTATGGAGTGAGATGGAAACTCAGTGTTGCTTTAATTTCAAAAAAAAAAAATCAAGGATAGTTATTCTCTTTGCATATGGTATGAACTTCAAACCAGAAATGATCAAGAGAGATAAAGAATGTCACTTCATACTTGTTAGGGGAAAAATTCAAGAGGAAGAGATAATAGTCAATGAAGATACATGTATCAAATATGGTAGCAGGCAACTATATAAGACAAATAATAATAGATATAAAAATCAAATATGCAATATCACAGTTATAATGGTGGTCCTTAGTACCCCACTGAAACCAAGAGACAGATTAACTAGATAAAAAGTCAGCAAAGAAATAACAACTGCATCAAACCCAAGAACAAATGGACTTAACAGATGTTTACAGAATGTTCCACCTAGTAACACTGGAATACACATTTTTCTTATCTGCACAGGGGACCCCCTAAAATAGTCCATATGCTAGCTATTAGAACATGCTCAGGTTAATGCATGGGAATTGAAAGTGTCCCATGCCTATTATCTGACCATTGTGCACTGACATTAGAAATTAATGACAAAAGAATCTATAAAACCTATATAAACACATGGAAATTATATAACACCCTCCTGAACAACCAATGGATAACATATTAAATTAAAGAATAAATTAAACAGCATCTATAATTAAATGAAAATGCAGATAAAACATACTAGAACTGTGGGACACAATAAAAGCAGTCCTAAGAGGAAAATATATAGCAGCGACATCTCACATCAGGAAAACAGACTGAGCATAAATAAACAACCTAATTCTGCACCCTTAGCTTCTAGAAAAAAATGAGCAAATCAAACCCACAGCTCATAGAAGGGAGGCAATTATAAGGAACAGAACAGAACAGAAATTAATGAAATTGAGAAAACAGTACAATTAATTAATGACCTGAAGAGTTGGTTTTTTGGAAGAATAAATAAAACTGATAAAGCCCTAGCCAACCTTATCAAGAAGAAGAAAGAAAAAAAAACTTAAATTCATACAATGAAGAATAAAGAGGGTGAAAAAATTACCACAGATCCTGTGGAAATTCAGATGGTCATCAATACCTACTTTGGAAAACTTCACTCATAGACTGGAAAACACAGAAGAAATGGACAGGTTCCTAGAAACAAATGGACTTCCAAAGCTGAATTAAGAAGATATAAAAATTATAAATGATCCAATATCAATTACTGAAATTTAAAAGGAAAGCTTATTTGTTTGTGATGATTTTATTTGTACCTTTGTGCATATGTAAGTGTCTGCCATCATTAAGCTCCTTTTCTCGTCAGTTTTGTTGTTTGCTACACAAAGTGCCCTATAGTTAACATTTAAGGATGTTAAATTTCATTTCAACTTAGTTAGCTAAGTTTTTCAAAAATCCACTGGATTCAAGGCAACAACCTCATGGCAGAGGAAATCTTGTTCATTTAATACCATATGGCTGACGACGGGAAAGAGTGCCTGTAAGAGATATTTCTTAGGTGATAATCTGTGTTTTCTTTTGTTTTCTTGAGCATTAGTCAGTTTTATTAATATCACCATTTGATAACTCCAGTCTAGATTATTAGTTGGTCTACTTCTGTGTTTTCTTTCTTGGATATTTAGATCTGCTTTTCTGCATGCATGGTAATTTCAACTGAAGAAGTGGATAGAAGTATGTTTTTTGAGAGAGGAGTATCCTTTCTTTTTTTTAAAGACTGAGCAAATCACATGAGGAAGCATACTTGGGACTGTTTTCTTTCTGCCCATTTTCGCAGGTCATAGGTGTTCCAATCTAAAAAGTTTTGTGTTTGCAGGACTGTTAATCTTGTATAAGGCTGTAAGTGCAAGTAACCCTAAGCTGAGAGACTGCTGATCATTTGCTCAGGTTTTTCAAGCATTTAAGAGGACCCTCAGGAATCTTCTTTCCGCTTGGTTTCCTGAAATATTCCTCACAGAGGTACAGGTTGCTTGTGCAAATATCATGTGGGAAAATCTGTACAGGATGCTGAGTTTTCTTCAGGACTGAACATGTCTTCCTAGGATTCTGTTTTTTTGAGTTCTGGAAGCTTTGGTTTCTCTTTTCAGGGAGCTCTTCTTACAGTGGCTTCTTATGTTTTGTCATCTTTGGAACTGTTCTCATGACCATGGTTTGGTTGAAGTCAATTGTCAAACATATATAGATAGGCAGAAAGTGCTGCATAGATGACTTTGGATTTTTAAAATAAAGGCTAGTTTATTGCAGGTTATGTACAATCGTGTTTTACTACCTCAGTTCACCTCTTCACAGGGTCTTTTGTAACTTGTTTTATGAAACACTGAAAACTTGTAAACAGCATTCAGGTTTTGCTAAAAAGTCTTGTCATCTTTATAGGCTTTACTCTCCTGATCTTCTCAACCTTGATTTTGTATCTTTCTGGAAATTTGATACTAATATTCGTCAATTCAATGAATGATTTGTTTTTAAAAATCATTTTGAAATTTACTGTCATTGTAGATGGACAGCATGTAATAACCACAAGTATTAAGTTGGACTGTAGAATTTCAGAGAGATTGCTCCTGTTGCTAAAGACTCACTAAATCTCTTTTGGTACGGACAATGTCAAAAACTACCAAATTAAAATAAAATGCATTCCCTATGATGATCATAGGGACTCCATGAACATAAGCTGTGTCATAATATGATTTTCAAGCCAGATTAGTCTCACCCTCAGCAATCTTATTCATCCCTCATATATTTTGAGTAACATTTATACTCAGTTTAAATGTTAGGGCCAATGGGGCTATATATATTCAAAGATACATCTGCCTCTCATCATAGGTATTAAAGTAGTTTTGTGTACTGCTTACAATGCATTTTAAAACACATTGACTTAAATGTACTACATAGGGTTTACAATCAAATTTAGTGGGACTCTCATCTAATTCTTGCTTTTTCTTCTAAAACAAGGGAGAACTCTCCAGATATCCTCCAGAAATGACCAGTTTCATATCCCACTGTCACAAAGAAACATGAATTATCGCCCTAAGATGACTTCCAGTGACCCAAAGTCATGCACCAAGGGGAATAAGTTAAGTTTTCATAACATCTTCTATCAAGTAGAAATGAAGAGTAGCTTTCTACTTTCACAGAAAACAGTGGAGAAAGAAATATTATCGAATATAAGGTATGTGTTTAATCTTTCAAAATGTGTACTTTGTTGACCTACAATGAATCATGTCGGTTTTCCATATTTCCAATTATGTGTTGTGAGCCTTTGTGTCCATGTTTGTGTACAGATACATAGACATATAATTTCATTTATTTGGCTAGTTTTGGAGTGATGTGATGGAATAATTTTTTTTATCATTGACCTTTTAAAAATTGTTATATACATATATATCAAAAGATGAATGGAAGAAAGAATGCAGTATTTGTACATTGTGGAGTGTGGAGTATTACTCTGCTGTAAGAACAAACTGGAGTCATTTATAGGAAAACAGATGCACCTAGAGACTATAGTGTTAAGTAAAATAAATCAGACATGTAAACTTAAATAATTATGGCTCTTCTAATATGACAAAACAGAAATATATGTAAAAAGAAAAGTAAAACAGATAATGGGATGCACAAATATATATATATATATGCAGTATATATATATATTTGAGATATATAGAAATATAGATAGACATATATATATATATATATATATATATATATAGAGAGAGAGAGAGAGAGAGAGAGAGAGAAATATATATAGAAATAGATAGGGGGTGAAGAAAGTGAAGGAGAGATGTGGAAGGAGGGAATGGGGTGAGAAAAATATTGAGAGGTGTTACGCGTATGCAGCAAGTCTCCATAGTATGTAATTCAAACATATACTAAAAATAAAAACAAAAAAAACTTATGTGTCTATCAAATAGATATGCAGATGCATATTTTCTGTTCCATTTCAGTGGACAGAATTAAGTTTTGTATGAATTCATGAACTTATAATGCATGCATACATATCCATATGAAATTCATGACTTCTCATTAATTGCCCAATTCTTCTGCATAGTTTCACATTTTCAAGTTTGCGAAACCTTAAAAAAACTGGCATTATATATAATATGCTTACTAATTTACTTTGTCCAATTTTGTATTCCCTAATAGAAACACTTTCCAGCCTGGGCTGTCTACTCGGGCTTTCCCACCCCTCTTACTTAAAGCTCACATGTTTGGAAGATAAACTGTATTAAGTCAGCTCGCTTGCAAACCATTGACTAATACACAGCTATGAATTTCTTAAGATTTTTTTCATGGAAGAAAACCTACTTTATGGTTTCAGTAAATAGAGTTTTTATTCTATTTTTGTTATCTTCTAATTTTTCCCTGATTTTTGTTAACCTAAACTTAGTCATATTTGCCTCATTTACTAGTTGTTTGAAACAGTCTCCATGATCTTTTGCAGTTTTTGAGATATCTCTAAGTAAACGGTATCCTGCATGAACTCTATGCTCTAGGCACTCTAGTTTTGACACTATCGTCTCATAAGTCAAATCTGCTGCCCATATTTCCAATAAAGATTTTATTCCCTGGATTTCTTTTAGTACCTTTTAATGAACTTTAATTCTTTTCTATGCTGGACAGTCACATGTTCTATTATAGTTTTTGGATATATTGCATTGTTGTGATTTTCTTGTAAATTTTGGGGAATTTGTATGTGGACATAGTACATCTTCTCATTATTCATCTCCTTTTCCTTCTCCCCTTATCATTCCACCCAGCACTTGATTTCCAAATTTATTCCCTGCATGGTTGTAGTAGATAAGGCTTACATTCCTTCTGAGGAATACACATAACATACCTTCATTCCTTTTGCCAATCCTTTTCTCTGTTGGATGGAGGCCAGGTTGTAGACTTGATTAAATGTCCATGGCCTTGGAGTCTGTTGCTCTCTTCTCTCTTTAGCATTTTTCTCATTCAGGATTAGGGTAGTTTGTTAGTTCCCACCTCTGGTGCTCTATGCCATAGGGAAACAAAATGTAGTACTTCCTTGGACATAGTGGGTGCTTGTGTCCTTGCATCAGTAGGTGCAGTGTTTTGTGTGGGGACCTCCTGGATCATTTGGGTGACAGGTGTTTTTTCTCTTGGGTACATGTCTTGATTTTGTCACTTTCCAAGAATGAAAAGGAGAAGATACCAAATTTTTAACATCTTTTATAAGATATCATCTACCATCAAGTTAGTCAGTTGGTAGGGTCATCTGTGGTCATGTTCAAAGCTAAATCAGAACGCACAGCTTACTAGGCGTGGACATTCGGCTGCAGCCAGGCACAGAATCCACCTCCGGTGGCTGCTTGTGCTTCTTGTTCTGCAGAAAAGCTGCTGGTGATTCCCTAGCAGCTTTTTATTCATATTTTTTCTTTATACTTATTGATAGTGAAATACATTATTTCTTTGGATACATCATCTTTGAGCTCACTGAATAACTACTGATATTTCTGTGCACTAATTATTGTTTTGCTTCAGTCTTTGGGTGTAGGATTTTCTCTCAGTCAGTGACACTGGATAAGATTTTGGGGAATTAGTTCTTTTTGGAGGCATTTTGTTGCCTTGTTTTCTCTTATTTCTCTGTGTGTGTGTGTGTGTGTGTGTGTGTGTGTGTGTGTGCATGTGTGCACATGCATGTGTGTATGTGTGTGTTGTGTGTTTTCAAGGTTGGTGGTCAATTGGAAGGGAGACATTCTGTTGCTAGCATGGAGAACTTTTAGGTCTTTTCCATCATTTGAGACTGTGCTTTGATTGATTTTTGATATTTACATATATTTTAAATCTATTCATGTGACTAGGTATAGACACAGTTTGTGTCATTTTAGGGAAAAATCCCTACTGATGTTATAATATCAATGGATTCAATGATATATCACTCATTAACACTAATTTTTTAAAATAATTTTACCCATTTGTCAGTGATCTACAAAGAATACAGTATTCCATAGTATCTCTAGCAAGTAGAATGAAATTTGGGGTGGGAGTAGAGGAAGAAAGAGAAAAAGAAAGAATAAATTAGAAAGGTGAAAAAGAGACAACAGAAATGATAATGGAAAGAAAGAAATAAGTTGATCATTGTTTTTATTATTTTTGTGTCTTCAGTAAAAATGTCTGACATCGTGAAGTGTTAGAGTATATTTTAGGGAGCAGAAAGGACAGAAGAAAGTACATGTAACTGGAAATTGAGGGAAGCTTTGAGAACCTGAGGGCCTGATAATTAACTGCTAGATATAGGCAGTCTAGGTCCTCTGTTTACAAATTCCATCTGAGTTACACAGACATGCCATCAAAAGTTTTTTTTTTTTAAATTTTATTTAAGAGGAAAAAGAGAAAAACACAAAACAAAACAAAGCGGTGTAAGGGTACACGTAATACAGAACTACAAAAAAAAAAAAAACAGTAAGAAATCACCTGTTAATAGATTACATATTATCATCTTAGAAATAGTTGCTCAAATCACAGTACCAAAGAATACAAAGTAGACATTCAAACAGAGAGACTGCAAACAGCTGTGTTCAATGATCCAAAAACATTAATATAGTCAGCTATTTAACACCCCTAAACACACTTGCTGTTATATCCGTTAGAGCTCTTTTTTTTCCCCTCTCTTTTTTACAACAAAATTTACACATTTTGGATTTTATTACTCCTTAGTTCTTATTACTTTTTTGGGGGAGGAGAGAATAAAGTCAAATATGGAAAACAAAGCTGTCAGTCAAAACCAAGGATAGACATAGCACATGATGTAGAACAGAGTACAAGGTTATCAACAATGGTTATAAACGTTATCTCTTGTTTCCTTAAAAAGAATTGTCTATCTCATTAGATATTATAAAGTTGGACAAAACAGTAGAGAACAAGACCAATAAAACTTAGGCATTGTAAACATTACAGGACTTCCAAAGGAGACAATAGTCAAACCAGAATGGGCATCTTAGTGAATCTTATTGCCTTCAAAGTAGTTGCCTATACCCTCAAACTTGATACTATCATACAGAATGGAACAGAGTCTAATCAGTCAAAACAAGATCGTGGGAGTATTACAGGACTTCAAAACAAGTTAATAGGAAATCAAAAAGAGTTACTATTATATATACCCTAATTTTAAAAATTTTTTCCCCTTAATTAAAACAAACATAAGAAATAACTAAATAATTTTTTTAAAGAATAAGGGAGAGATTGAGATAAAACAGGACATAACAATATAACAATACAAATCAAAGCATGACTGTTTCAGCAACCTAGTGCTTCACCACCAAATAACCCGACTTAATAGTAGTTACCATAGTGTCTGTCTTTTTCCTTGAAATATTTGGATAAAACTTCATATACTATAGCTTCAAATATTTCCATATCAAGAAGCCCAGAATAAAGCCTTTCTAATTAATAAGTGAAAACTTTATAAGGCTTCAAGGCCACATAATGGGGAATCATGATTACCACATATTTTTATATATTTGAATCATTACTTACATTAGGGATACTATTCGGTATTCACACATGCGAGATTGATTTATTTCACTTATGAGTATGGTCTCAAGCTGCGCCCATTTATTGATAAATATCTCAATGTGATCCTTCTTTATAGCTGAATAATACTCCATTGTATAGAAATACCACAACTTTTTTATCCATTCCTCAGTTGATGGACACTTGGGTTGTTTCCAAGATCTGGCGATTACAAATTGTGCTGCTATAAACATAGGTGCACATATATCACTGTGGTGTGATGCTTTCAGTTCTTGTGGGAATATGCCTAGAAGTGGAATAGCTGGAATAAATGGGATTTCCAATCCCAACTTTTTGAGAAATCTCCAGACAGACCTCCACAAAGGCTGTACCAGTCTACACTCCCACTAACAGTGCAGGAGGGTTCCTTTTTCCCCACAGCCTCTCCTGCATTTGTTGTTATTGGTTTTCTTGATCTTGTCCATTCTTTCAGGAGTGAGATGGTATCTCAGTGTGGTTTTAATTTGCATTTCTCTAATGATCAATTATGATGAACATTTTTTCATGTATTTATTTGCCATTTGCATTTCTTCATCTGATAATTGCATATTCATCTCAGATGCCCATTTTTGGATTGGATCTTTGAAATTTGGAGGTCTGAGTTTTTTTAATTCTTTATATGTTTTAGACAAGAGTCCCTTGTCTGAGAGAGAGTTCACTAAGATTTTTTCCAAGTTTGCGGGTTTTCTTTTCACTATGCTGGAGATTTCTTTTGACATGCAGAAACTTTTTAATAAGAAGTGGTCCCAGTTATTGATTCTGGGAAGTATTTCCTGTGCGGTTTGAGTCCTGTTCATGAATTCTCTACCTACTCCTATGTCTCCAACGTTTCTACCCAATTTGTCTTCCAATACCAAAAGTATTATTTAGGTTAAAAAATACTTAATTTTCTTCCCTTTGCACATGTACTGACATATCCCATATATAGGAATACAATATGTAATATATAATATATGCTACATAGAAGATATGTTAGGTGAATGAGGAAAAAGAAAGAGGGGAGATAAAGGAAAAAGAAAAAAATAGAAGAAATAAGAGGGAAATAATTAGAACTGCATATACAGTGCAAAGAACAAAATTAAAGTATCTTCACAGGTCTATGAATCGTGCAATGAGTCACCTCTTCTCCCAACATTCACAAGTGAATCTTTGACTTATAAGATGGAACAGGGTGACTCTTTGGGCCTGGCTGTTTCTCATGCTTCTTCCCCCTAAAAAATGCCACAGAGTGCTCCTTCTTACAATTCTCCTTCTGCATCTAGAACCTGCTGATTTCTGGGATGTTTTCCCCCTTATGAGCTGTTCAATTTCCTGTCTTTGAGTGCAGATGTTTTCTTTCTGGTCATATTAGAAGCAATTATCAGCTAGATGTTAGTAAAGATGATGCAAGAAATGTATAAATAAATAAATATTAAAGCTATCCTTTATAGTATGTTTTTGCATTGGTGGGCAGGATAAGATCACCCAAAGAAATAGATTTTTTCACTTGGTGGCTTGTGCCAGTTAGCAAAATTTTCATTGTCTATGTCCAGAATTTCAGTGGCATACCTTAGTCATTTATGCAAAATGTGTGTTTTACCTGCTCTTCTACTTGCCACTTTATAATTGTGAGAGTTCTGATAAAATGGTCAAGATAGACAAACCCATTCTGAGAATAAGTGTCTATTCCAGTCATAATGAAGCCCATTCTATGATAGAAGTGTACAGTGTAGGCAAAGAGCCTCCAGGTCACAGATTTACATTCCTTTGCAATGGGACCATACTGGGACCTTAGATTTGGTCTCTGCTGCAGTCAGATAAGGTGGTCAGCAGTGGCCCTGCCACCCTTTACATAGTTGCCATGTTATTTAACCCATGCATAACCTGCCCAAACTCTCATCTATAGACTTACAAAATGACTCACCCACCATCACTGTATTTCACAGTACTGCTTCTGACTGAGGAACTCAGTTCATAGCCAGAGAAGTTCAGTAATGGGCTTATACTTCTGGAATCCACTGCTTTAGTCTTATTCTTTATGATGGAGTAGCAAGTGGATTGGCATAAAGGTACAATGAGCTTTTAAGACATAATAAGAGTGACAATGTGTTAGAAAAACATTATGGTACTGGGAAAAGTTTATTTTGAAGGTTGTGCATATTTTGAATAAGTGTCCAATATATGGCACCTCTTCTCCTGCAACAGGATTAATTGAATTTGTAGTCAAGTGGTGGAAGAAGGAATTGCATCATGCACACTTACTCCTAGAGGTAAACTACCAAAAATTGTTCTAGAGCCACTGATGCTCAGTGGCTCTAGAAGACTTAGTTCCAGAAGAAGAAATGATTGTACAAAGGGAGAAAGCAATGGTTCCACTGAACTGGAATCAATGATTGCATTCTGATCATTTTGCTTACATCAAGCCTGAATAAAAAGGATTTTAAAAGACATTATGTTTTTGAGAAGGAGGTTTCTACCAGACTATGCAGGAGAAAATGAATCAATCCTCCACAACAGATGTAAGGAAGAGTATGTTTGAAATACTTGAGATCACTCAGGGTGGCTAATATTACCATGCCAGTTATTCAGATCAGTAATTACCTTAGCTACTTTCTCGTTGTGAGGATATTCATAACTCCCACTGCTTTATTTTCTCTGCTTTTTTTTTCTTTTGAACCCCCAAAATCTTAGCCTTGAAAACTTCACATATTTTATGGCCTTTAGATTATAGTTTAGACACCTAGTTATCAGTTAGACTTCAGAGAGTGAAATTTGTCCAAGCCCTCAAAAAGCCTCTTCCTCTGCTTCAATTTGCCACAAAACTATGGAAAAGGAAACAAATGAGTTTTTGTCTAGGCACCAAACTACTTGGTGCCCACATTCTGCAAGTCAATTAACCAGATGTGTACGAAGATCATGTAACATTCCAAAGCAATAATAGTGTTGCCAAAAGGTGGCATGCATGGAAACCCCTGACCTTGTGAATATGTACAAGAATATATAACAGAAAGGACCTAAGGAATTTGTGCCAGCTAGCCAGTAATCATGAGTTTCAAAGCAAAAGGTGACTGAGCACTGAAGTTTGAAATAAGCCTCACTACTTCCTGAAAACTTGGTGTGCCAAGGATAAATTTCTTGAGCTTGCTGTAACATCATCACTGAAACACAAAACACAACCCTCACAAATTATCAACCACTTCAAAGAAGAAAGGGCATGGTAGAGGGTAATGGTGGTGTAAAAACTGCTCAGATTATAGTTGCCTGAAGCAGAGAGATAGACAGAGAAAAGGGAGGAAGTGGGAAGGGTGATATATTCTCCACTGTGACCCTCTGAGTGACCCATTTATTACAAAACAGGCTCCATTTCCTAAAAAAGTCAAGTACAATGCTCCCATGATCCAGCCAGCATCTAAAAGCCCTGCCACTGAGCACATGAGACTCTTGAGGATCACTGAATATATAAACCGTAGCAATGGGAAATTATGATGCTCAATGTACCACGTAGAGAAAAAGACCCATAACTTTCATGAATGACAATGTCACCCCACCAATCAATAATCGAGACCTACCAAATTGTTTTTCAAAGACCAAAGAAATACAGCATGGATTGTAGTAGTTAGTTTTTAGTATCAGGGGCAATCACCAGCCTGTTATAAAATGAAAAATTAAAATTGTCATGAGTATTTCTTTCCTATTTTGTTAATATATTTATGCATATTAACACATCTATTAAGTGGATAAATTTCTTTTGTTTCTTTGTAACATAATATTCATTGGTTCTTAAATTTTGTTAAACCTGCATGATATATGTAAGTTAATGAATGTCAGGAGAGCAGTAAAATCACCCAGAAAAACGTTCTAGGAAGAAGTTAGTGCATTTTTATTTGTATGCAGGAGACTTGTACCATATTAGGTATAATTAAGTACTTTTTATTGTATGTGTAGGGTAAATATTATTTTAGGAAACATTCCCAAGTTTACAAAAGGTAAATTGTGACTATCAAGTGTGATATTTCAACTTGAATAGCATCCTGAGTTTTCGGGCTTCCTGCTTCAGCTGCTCCTGGATCCTCTGGATCAGCAGCACACAGAGGGCCATGCTGGAATTTCCTACCTCTAAACCTGCAAATGGCCTTTGTGACTCTTTTACTTTTTATTCTATAAATCAATCTAATAAACCTTTTTGTATAATTATGTATGCTTTACAACCATTTTCATCCTATGGAGAACACAGTTACCAGTGGGATACAGTTACAATGATGCCTCCCTTAATTAACTTTATTCATTCTGTGATTCTGTTCTTGAACAAGGTGTGCCATAAACTGAACCAAATTTCCCCATAAGGTTCAGGGTACATAAGATAAATTCATCCTGAGCACTGTGAATGTGGTTACAAACTGATTTTTATTGGGAACTGTTCTGAGTTTTCCCACAATGTTCAGTGTAAAGAAGATTAATGTATTCTGAACACTGTGTATTTTTAAGCACAAGAATACAAAACAAAGTACAGTACAGGGAAGTGTGAAGAGAGAGAACACTAACCTGACTCAGTATTGGCCTGCACGTTTGTCATCCTTCTGATCACTGTAAATATTTACTATAATGCTTGCTCTGCAATTTCTCTGGTGCTGTGCTAGATCAAATAATACTGGATGCACTGTACATGTTCTAAAGCTCACCTAATGGCTCTTTAGAACAAGTGTGCATAGATGTTTCTGCAACCACGATATCAACTAAGGAAGCTACTGTCATGTGCCAAAGCACAGAAATTGTCCACATTTATGTTCCTGTGAAGAAGATGACCATGGTCCTGTTTGTCACCAAATGCAGAGTTAATGAAGGCAAGCAAAATTTTGCCAAAGGTGAACCAAATGGCTTGCAAACAGAAGCATTTGTGAACCAAGATATTCATAAAAGGAAATTAAAGATCCTGAGCCATTTTTGTAGATTGTGACTGAAAAATGTCTTTACTTTGTATTCTAATCTTCGATTAATCCATTTTTTACTTATAGATTGATTCTCATCTTCTGTGTATGATTTCATTAACTGCACTAAGTATATTAGTTAAAACTTTGAATTAGTACAATTTTATTTAATGTGGAATAATAAGTCAATTTTTGTGCTTATAGTGGGATCATGATACCTGGCCTCAATGCCATTCTGGGACCTCCAGGTGCTGGAAAATCTGTGTGAGTATCAAAGAAAGTGTAGGTCAGACTTGTTTGCACAATTTCAGTGTCCTTTTCAAAATCACTGTTATGTGAGGTGGGATTTTTTTCAGTATTTGTTGTGACTGTCTGGTCTGGTCCTAGATATTAGGGACAATATTCAGTTAGGCTGGCTTTTGAAAGACCACAATTTCTTACTGGTTAGGTTTAATACAAAGATATTATAAAGTGATTGGTTTTTCAGCATCCAATATTATGAATCAATGGAGTGTGAAAACAGATGATTAATATTCAAAATAGGAGAATGTGACTAATATTTTATGGATGGTCGTGAGTCTTCCATAAAGGAGCACATTGCCTGGGTTGGGACATCCAAGTTTCCATACCAGGTGGACAATTTGGGAGGTCTGATAAACAAATGATTGTGTGTTTATATTTGGGGGGCTTTAATATATTCCATACTGAATGTATATATTTGATTAGGCATAGAATTTGTAGATTAGTTATTTTTCTGACGTGAGGAAGAAGTATGAGAGATATGGCCAATGTTTTAGGAATGGAAACTCCCCAAAATATATATCCTTTCCTAGGTTGTTAGATATCTTAGCTGCAAGAAAACATCTGGGAAAATTCTCTGGAGATGTGATGATAAATGGAGAACTTTATCCTGCAAATTTCAAACATCATTCAGGTTATGTGGCACAAGTGAGTATTACTGGGTTCGCATTTTAGATTTCCTCATTTTTATATGGATAAATGCCTTAGTTTCACAGCTTCCAGCTGATTATTAACATGCATATAGAACTAAGTTTTTATATCAACTTTCAATAATTATCCATTATATTTCATGTGATATTAAAAGAAGATGCAGAGCAGATATGGACTGTGACCGAAGGAGGTGGTATCCATTGTACCTGGCATATCTGTTCCAACAGGGACTAGTGCTGAGTTTTCTTTACCCTTTTCTCTCCCTTGAAGATGTTTTCAGCAAATCATTGTAGAAAGCAGTCTGAATGTGCTTGCTACTCTTCGTCATGAGACAGTATACAAGATAATAAGAACAGGAAGTAGAAATCAAGATTTTAAAATTAATCTTAAAAAACAAAATATATTTAAGAAAAACTGCAGCAAAACAAGTTTTTCTTTCCCTGCTTCTGGAGGCCACTCAAGCTGGTGCATCCTTTTTAATCCTTATTTAAATAGTGTTAAATTCCTAAAGATTTTTTTACAGTAGCTTATAAATGCCAAGGTACTAGCCCTGTCCTTTTCACTGGCAAGTTGCCTTTTCCTCCCCAAAACAACATTACTGGCAACAGACTGTCTCAGTTTCAATGACACACATGTTAGCCTGAAAGACAATTAATTATATACATTTTACATCACTTACTTTAAAAGATACTTATTCAATGTGCCTTTCCTCTAGGATGGAGCCTGTCTCATTTCTTTCAGTGTATACCTCCTTCAGGGTCCAGCTTACAATCTGTAATAAAACTTATGCATACCTATTTGTGTGTGATACATGTTAAAATTCTTTTCTTCAAGGCATTTACCAAAACAGAAACTTAACATAAGACAGCAAGACAATCATAATTGCATATACTCTCCTTAGATGTGCAAACATAGGTGAAAAATATTCCAGTGGGTTCGGCAGATGTCTAAGATGTAGTTTCTGTAATTTGTAAAACTGGATGGTCACCTGTAGCTAGAGCTCTACTTTAGGTATGTTATGTTCCTGGATTAAGTTAGATGTGCTAGAGTGATGGATGATCTTAGAAAAGACTCAGTTTGTCTCACTAAAATACCATTTGCCTTAAGGATGATATCATGATGGACACACTGACAGTGAGAGAAAACTTACTCTTCTCAGCAGCTCTTCGGCTTCCCACCACTGCGACCAATTATGAAAAAAATGAGAAGATTAATGAGGTCATTGAAGAATTAGGTCTGGATACAGTTGCAGATTACAAGGTAACATGATCAAAATAGGTAAAATCATAGCCATGTAAGACTTTCTGTGTATGAAAAATATGAGTTTGATCAATTTTTTCTGTTTGTAGTCAAAGTTTCTGCTTTCTGTAATGAGGAGAACAGTACCGAGTTACTTCAAAGAATGTTTGAATGACGCTGAAAAAATTAATGTAAGAGTGGTTCAATCCTAGGTGTGGAAAAAGCTCTAGAAAACCTATTCCTCATGTAGTGGTTTTCAGTGATCCTCAGCCAGCTTCGCTGTTCTCGATCATTTGATAATTTTGCACTAACTGTTCTACTTGATTTTCTCTTTTCAAACTTAGGATTTCTCTCTCTCTCTCTCTCTCTCTCTCTCTCTCTCTCTCTCTCTCTCTCACTCACTCTCTCTTTCACTCCCTTCTCTCTTTTACATGAGGGAAGTTTGTATTGTTGCTTTTCAAGGGTTCATTTCTGGAATTTATAAATAATGAGATACAAGGGGTTTTGTTTAATCAGTTTTACCTGCTGTAGTTCTTATATTGAATTTCTGTGGCTGTTCCTCTCCATCTTCCCATGTATATCTATTCTTGTTTTTCTTTTTAATTTTGGCCAAACTCTTCTAAGTGAGACTCACTTTCAGGTTTTAGAAATCAACTTATTAGAAAAACTAAAAATAATAAAAAAAAAAGTGTGGGGAAGGGGGAGAAACAAATTCCATGAAGGCGTATCAGAGGAATGAGTGGCCACTCTAGTTGAGAATTCCCTATAAAAGAAATCCTGAACAGTGATTTGAGGCTTCAGGTGAAAATGAGCTATTTGGATGATAATGGCTGTGCTTTAACCAAACAGTGCGACATTCCCTACATAAATCAATGAAAAACAGTGTTCTGCTAACTGTTGCTTTCCATGACAGTTGCTGAAAGATCTTCATGAACTGTTCTTGTTTGGAAAAATAACCCTGCAATGCCATATTTACCAATTACTTCCTTTTAAAGAGGGTAAAACAAAACAGAGCAAAGCAGATCAGAAGAAAACAATGTAAGTGGCACAGATTTCAAAGCAGACAACAGGAGATCTACAGTGGCTACTATGTCTCTTGTTTTCTTCTAAATAGTTGTCCGTATCTTCACACACAATGAATTCATACAAAACAAAATAGTATAAAACTGATAAAAACAGAGTAATGAAGGAATTATAGGCCTTCAAACCCTGGCGATATGGAAATCAACAATGGCGCCGTAATGTCTCTTGTTCTCTTCAAAATAGCTCTCCATACCTTCATGTATGTTGAAATTAAAAAATACCTGGCAGACTAGAAGCATTTGGAAGAAAGAACAGAAGCATTACTGGATTTCACAGTGTGGTGATATAGAATCAGCAATGGCTACCATAATGTCTCTTTTGCTTCAAAGTAGCTGTTCATTTCATTACACATAATATAATTGATTCTTATAAGCTATTTAGGAGAAGTTCTGGGCATATGTAAGTATCTACATGTATACCTATCCTTTCTTTCTTTTTTTTTTTTTTTTTTTTTTTTGTCTTTTTCCTTTTTATCGGTACCAGGGATCGAACTCATGACTGCCTGCTTGCAAGGCAGGCGCTTATGCCACTGAGCTAAATCCCCAGTCCCATCCTTTCTGAATTAGAGGAAAAAACAACCAAAACAAGTTACTAAAAAAAATAAGAAACAAAAAAAGTCAAGTAAATAACAGTACCAAAGTGCACAAAACAATGATGATATAGGCGTTCAACACAAGGTTTTAAGAACATAACTAAGGTTTCTATTTTACATAGTCATCTTCAAAAGAGTTCCTCAGATCACCAGACACAAGCATGCAAACTTGTCCCAATCCTATGAATGTTAACTCTTTTGTTTCAAGAACTAATAGAATTTGTAGCACCATCATCTTAGCTATCTTAAATGTTTTTATACAAATTTAGATATTTTTAAATTTTCCCTTCCACTTTTTTCCTTTTCCCTGACATATTATTTTTCCCCTTTGAACAGATTCTTACCCTTCAACCATATTTACTGAAGATTTTGTATCTTATCTTTTCTTACAATAGGGAAACAATATGGCATTTATGCAAATGAGTTTGATTTACTTCACTTATGAGTATGGTCCCAAGTTCCATCCCTTTATAAATATCTCAATGTGATTATTCTTTATAGCTGAGTAGTACTCCATTGTATAAAAATACTACATCTTTTTTATCCATTCCTCAGTTGATGGGCATTTAGGTTGTTTTTAAGTTTTGGCTATTAAAAATTGTGCCTCTATAAACATGGGTGCACATATATCACTATGGTATGATGTTTTCAGTTCTTCTGGAAATATGCCCAGAAGTGAAATAGCTGCATCAAATGGCTACCTATTTCCTTTTTTATGAATGATTCAATTTTCCTTTCTCTCAGGCTATTAATTTGACTTGGTTTTGCCTTTCCCTTGATGTAGGGCCTTTTGCTCGTTTTTTTTTTTTTTGTATTTTTATTGTTTTATATCAATCTCTGTGATTTTCAGTGAAAGCACTGAAAGCAATTTTTGACTTTTGAAAATTCACAGAACTGATTAAAATAATTATAATTTTTGCTTTTTATGATTTTGTCAAAATAAAATCACATAAACTCAGGGAAAGTAATCTACTTTCTTCATTGATAATATCAGGAATACAACTTGATATCTCAGTTTTTAATATTCTATAATTCCGCAACTCTTTTTTTTTAACTTAAAAAGGATAAAACAGAATATAAGCAATAAAAAACAAACCAGTGTAATATAGGACTTCAAAACATGAAATCAACAATAGTTACTGCAATGCCTTTTGATGTCTTAAAATAGCTCCTGGTAACTTCAAACATAATAAAAATCACACAGAAGAGAATAGAATATAAACAATAAAAACAATACAATGAATGCAATAAAGGACTTCAAAATCAGCCAGTAGTAAATCCAAAATTTCTACACAACGTATCTTGCAGTCTTTTAAATAGCTGCTCCTGCCATTGCATTTTTAAGCTAAGCAAAACAAAAGAGAATAAAACCCAACCCCACAAAATATTGGAAATGATGTAGAACTTTAAAAAAGACCATAGGGAGTGAACAATGGCTGTAACCCTCAGAAGGAGATCCCTCCTAGATGCCACACTGCTTACCCTTATCCTATGATCAGACCACTAGCTGTAGACTGGCAATGTCAGTGAACATTAAAGCCCCACAGGCATTCAGTTGCATTTCACTTCAATAGCTGTTATCACAGCCTGTGTTTCCCTGGGTAAACCAGTCTCTTACAAGATTGGGTGATGAGGGGAGATTGGTACTTCTTGTTTGTTAGCCCACATGCCAGAAAGTGTTGGGTCTGGCTGTTGCCAGTCTGGCGGTGGCCCGTGCAAGGCACTGACAGGCTTGCCTCCTACTGTGGCCAGGTTCTCTCTCTCCCCATTCTGCTAATGACGCTCACTCTTAGGAGAGACTGGGAACTGGCTGTCCCCAGGCCAATGGCAGCCCATGCATGGCATTGGTTCCCAGATCAGGCTTGCTTCCTGGTGTGACTTGTTCTCTCTCCCTGAAGTCTGTTAACGGTGCTGACTCAGGAGGAGAGGCATGGGTCTGGATATCTCCAATCCAGCTATAACTCATGCATAGCTGTTTCCTCAAAACTTGTTTACTGATGCAATTTTTAAAATTACATAACATTTCACATAATATTTTAAATTTCACAGGGTGGCACAAAGTCTTTCACCAAATGCTAGTAATTGTAGTCATTTCTGTTGGTAATATTTTGTATTAGGCTGGAACTGTGTCTAGGGCAGAAAGAAAGAAGACCAGTATCGCCATGGAGTTGATCACTGATCCTTCCATCCTGTTCCTGGATGAACCCACAAATACTTTAGACTGGAGCACAGAACATTCTGTCTTTCTGCTTCTGAAAAGGTAACTGTTATGAGACCTGTTCTTTTATTTATTCAATATCTGGTTTCTATTGTGCACCAGATGTTCTTGGTGCAGAAGGTACAACAATGAAACGGCAGAGTTTCTTCATTTCTTGTTCAAGGGGAACAGTCAGTCAATACAGCAGTGCTATTAAGAAAGATGAAAGAGAAGCACAGGGAGGGGTGGCCATGGTGGTTGTGAGGGCTGACTTGAATAACAGGAGGGTCAGAGAAGACCTAAAGACTGTGGCAAGTGAGCTGCAAGCAAAGGGGTGAGGCCAGGCTGGACCCGGCAAGGGAGAGCTCTGGTTGAGGGAGCAGTCAGTGTCCTTGTGGCCAAGTCAGCCTGCTGCATGTGGGGCATCAAAGAGGCCTGAGGGACAGAACCCAGGGAATAAGGGGAATGGAGGTTGGCTCAGGTACTCTTGTAACCAAATACCACAGAGTTAGTGGCTTAACAATAGAAATTTAATTTTTTGTGTGTGTGATTTTTGGATCTTGGAAATCTGAGTCCATGGCATTGTTCTTCTCACCCTGATGTCGCTGCCTTGGAGATAATCATCTTCTCCCTCTGTGTATGTGTCTGTGTCCTTGTCTCCTTTTAAATGGATCCTATCCACCAACTCAATGCCTTGCTTTACCGTAAACTGCCAAGACTATGGAGTTATGATTACTTCTAGACCCACTTAAGAAACCAAAAAAATGCACACTTATGAGTGTGTTCATATATATAAACAATAAATACATTTTACATGTGTGATTCCTGCATACCAAAAGATATATTATATGTACATTTTATACCATTGTCTCAAGATAGAATAATTAATAGTAATTATAAGTCACAAGAATTAAGATTAATCAGATGATTTACTGGTTTCATATTTAGTTCATGTAACAAAACAAGAGTATATTTTCGCCTTACTTAAGGTGGTTGTTAACAATGTTGGCACCTTGAATACACCACAGAGATTCTAATCTAAGGTCTGGAAATACTTTTCATGAATCTGTATTTTAATCAGATTTCTAATGGATTATATACTGTTAATGCACCATCATTTAAGAAACTTTGTCTTTTAAAAAATCCATTAAAATTAGCATTAATTAACAAGGTGAGGCTCAATGAAATATTTCTGAGAAAATCAATTCTAAGTGGGAATAAATGATCTAAAATCAAGAATACAGTATTTTATCAGGAACTGCCAAGTTCAGATGTGTAATGACTGCTTCTTCCCCTTTCTAGGAGATCAAAGCAGGGGCGAACAATCATCTTCTCCATTCATCAGCCTCGGCACTCCATCTTCGAGATGTTTGATAGCCTCACCTTACTGGCTGCAGGAAAGCTAATATTCCACGGTCCTGCACAGATGGCTGTAGAGCACTTTGCATCAGCAGGTAAGGTTGAGTTCTGTATGCAGTAGGTGCCCCATGCAAGGAATGCTGGAAGAGCACAGAGGAGGTCACAGGAGTGCTGTTTGTCTTGTGTAGATGAACCTTGGGCTCTACCACTGTATAATATCTTTGGCCAGTTTAGTACCAGAGATTTGCTTCATTTGTAGTACTTCTTTTTTTTTTTTTGTTTAGGTCCCTTTCCTTTTCCTGTCCTACTTGAGTATGTGAACATGTGTGTGTCTGTTAGAGTTTGTCTTCTTGACCTGAGCTTGTGTGACTTCCCACGTGTGGTGAGAATTTCTTGAGAGTTTAGTAATTAATGTGTCAAACTTATAGCCAGTTATTCTGTCACTTGTACATACATACCTGGGTTTTTGGGGGGGTGCTGAGAAGGAAGAGCTTGCATAATGAGCTACAGCTCTAACCATTTTTTAAAGTTTTTATTTTGAGATATGTTGTTTTACTAACTCAATAAGTTTCACATATGGTCCCATACTCATCACTTTCCTGTATCTTTAATCTGTCTTTTAATGTGCCAATATTTTTGTTCTTCTTATATTTTAGATTGAGTCAAGTTGTTTAGTTTTTAATAGTACATGACCTCTGATTCACTTTTGAGATATTTTCATATGATTAGTGTCCTTGTGGCCAAGTCAGCCTGCTGCATGTGGGGCATCAAAGAGGCCCGAGGGCCAGAACCCAGGGAATAAGGGGAATGGAGGTTGGCTCAGATACTCTTGTAACCAAATACCACAGAGTTGATTAGAGATGATTTCCATAACCTAAATATAATTTTAAATGTTTACTAGCCCTCTGCCTTCATAAGAATTTGTTTAAACTATTTTGTTTAAAAATAAGAATACTGTATATAAATCTGTAGAGCTCATGGAAGTTGAATTTAACTGTCTGATTTCACACTGAGTTGGGATGATTGCACCAAAGGAGTTAAGGCCTAAATTCAGGTTTGTTGTGTGATTCACATTTTTTACAGAATGTCAATGTGGGGATTTGTTGTCAGTTTGAAATTAATATAGTATCACAAAAAACAATTAGACTTCTGAGGTGAATAGGTAGGGAAACCATCATTACTGGCACATGTACTGCAGTTCTAGTGTTCCCTAGGAGAATTCAGAGAGCACATAGACTCTGGCACTTTTTTTAATATATATATATTATATATGATACAGAGTCACTGAAATATCACACATATTCAGTCAAGGCCAAATGAGTTAGGAGAGAAAAGAAAAGTTGAGTGAAAGAGAAGATTTTAGATTCTATGTTCATTTGCCTCTCCTCACTTGCCCTCTGATATGAATGCTTTTTATTTCCAAAGACATCAGCTTTGTCTTCTTCAGTTTCCTTATTTGTTCCATAGGTTACAGCTGTCAGCCCTACACCAACCCAGCAGTCTTCTTTCTGGATGTCGTGAGTGGAGTCATCACTGCTATGGAATCAGACAGAGAAGACAAAGACCATGAGGGTATGTGATTCTGTTAAGAGTCACAAAATTTTACCTAATTGTAGTGGTTGAGACTTAGCAATGTAATAGCTTATATGAAGAAGAAGGCATTGTAAATTCTTGTGAATATAGGAGTGTAGTCATTTCATTTTTTTCTCTTTTCTTTTCATTTTGTTTTCCCTTCCCTTCCCTTCCCTTGCCTTCCCTTGCCTTCCCTTCCTTCCTTCCTTCCTTCCTTCCTTCCTTCCTTCCTTCCTTCCTTCCTTCCTTTGCTTTTCTGCTGGATTGAACATAAGGCCAGTAGATTACTGAGCTGTATTCCTGCACTTGCTATAAATTTAATTTTCAGTCATGTACAGGCTGGAGTCCAACTAAGAGTGCCTTTGCCTCAGTCTCCCTAGTTACCAACATAAGAAGTGTAGACAACAAAACTTATGTTACAGTAGTAGTGTGATAGAAGTGAAGAGATGCACTATTTTCCATGAATGCTGCTGCTGGTTTTCAATTTATAAATCAACATTGATAAACTACTATCACTTTAAGAGAAATTTTCTTTAAAATAAATATGTTGATTCCTTGTTTTATGAAAAAGTATCAAAATCATTTAGCTTCTTAAGGTAAGTTTAGGTGAGGTTTAGGATTAGGGTTAGGGTAACTCTAAATGTAATGCTTTGTCTCTTTTCTTTTCTTTTCTTTCCTTTTTTCTTCTCTTTTGTTCCTTCCTTCCTTTTCATACAGGTTCTTTCTAATTTTCTCAGGCTACTCTCAAGCTTGAAATTCTGTCTCAGCCTCAAAGAGTGCTTAAGCCTACATTATTTTTAAAAGAAGAAACTTGACCTTTTAGAATTTGCAGACAGTAAAATACGGGGAATTGAGTCTTATATTAACAATTATACATCTGTGCAATAATGCATCTTTTTAAAGAATTAGTGTTTAATCAGGAAAAGATCAGCCAATTTACTGTATACATAAGGTTATGGCATTACAAAATGAGTCTTTGTAGTGTGTAACCATGGAAAATCTATTCATTTTTTATTCTGATGCTGTATAATTGAGGTGTGATACAAGAAAAAAATCACAATGAAATTGTTTAATGATTTATCTTTAATATTGTTTATTTTCTTTGTTCACTTTTACTCCAAAGGTGCGAAGATTGAAAAGTTTTCCTTGAGTGATAAGCCAGTCATAGAAAACTGCTGAGTTCTATGCCAGCTCCTGGTTCTACAGAAGTACGAAAGCTGAACTAGGTCGCCTCTCAGATGGTCAGAAGAAGAGCTCAGCCTTCAAGGAGTTCACCTTTGACACCTCTTTTTGGCACCAACTCAGATGGATTAGCTGGCGCTCACTTAAAAACTTTCTGGGTGATTTCCAGACCTCTATATCTCAGGTAACCTGTAGGATACATTTCATTGTGCTGTAATAGAAATATATGGGAAAAGTTTGGTTGTGATCTATTGTTTTTCACGAATGTTTATCTCCCACCCACCTTTCAGTGTATTTGTCACACTTACTCCATCTAGGATATAGCAATAATCAATAGAACACAAAAAATCTAACTTGGAAGCTTTTTTAAGAATAGAACAGAATACTTAATATAAACAATAATAGATAATCTAAGTAAAATTTGAATTTTGCTTCAAAATATGTAAACTGAAGGAAATACCACTTAATTTGCATTTTGCTAACAGCTGTCCACTTTCATTCATTGGTTCATTAGGGAAAACCACTACAAAGTCATGTCACAACTTGAAACTCTAATATAATAAAGAGCACATTTAAAATAAAAATCTCTGCTTTTATAAATTTATTATCCTATGACAGCATAAAATGATAATTGAATAAAAATAAACAAAGAATATGTACTAATAAAAGGAATTGTGCTGTGATTGGAGCAGTGAAGGGTATAAAAGGGTGGATGGTCAGGGAAGGAGATGAGAGGAGGTTATTTTGTGATCAAAAGCATGCAGTGGAGAACTCAGTGCCTCTAAGTTGAGATGAGGGTAGTGAGGAAAGAGCCTGCATGCCATATGCTGTTCCTTATTGGTGGTTTTCTGTGTTTAGAGATACACATATTTGAAAATCAGTAGATAATTTGAAGAGTTTTCAGTTTGTAAACAGATAGGAACCAAGCTTAACAATGTCTTCACCAAGGTGATATAGTATGCTTTTCTTTTTGCTGGTTCTGTGGATTTTGGTAATTATTATTGTTTATCATTTTTCCTGTTATCTTTAATCTTATTAGCACATAGATACTAGTGCTTTGGTTTATTTTTAATTTTTTTTCATAATTTTGAAGGCAGTAAAATACAACACAACAAAATGGAACAAAGCCAATTTAAACAGTGTAGTGAAAATGGTACAGAACTTCGCAGCAAGTTACCAGGATAACAGTAATAGGTACACAGTATATCTCATTATCTTCACAATAGTTGTTTTTTCAGTCAGATATAGCAAAATAAAATGAAATACAGAGGATGATAGAAGTTATCAAAACAATATTGAATAGAGTAACACCATTAATTAGAATAAAGGGTCACCTAGTAAATATATTAGACTTTGCATATCCTATATAATCTTTTCCTCAGGTTGTGAATACTGCTAGTTTATTGTGAATATAGACATAACTAATATGTAAGCAAATGAACAAGGCTTTGTGTTGATAAAATTTTATACATGGGTACCAGATTTTCAATTTCATAAGTATTTGATATTGAAAGAAATATTCTTGATCTCATCACCATACTAATAAATTCAGCTGAACCTATTCTTATCTCACAGCTTAGCACTAATAGATGATTTGCCTCCTGGTCCGTGGGCCATTGGTCACTGACCCTTGGGATAGATGCTTCCTCCTTTAGGTTTATTTTTTCTCTGTGTTTGTACATGCAGGTTTTGAAATATTAATGAAATCCTGTGGATAAATCTTTCATCTATTTTCTTACATCTGTTTTTGTTTTCTCTGACTCATTTTATATTTCAGTGTTTCAGCATTGCTCATTTATTAATGGTTTTATTTGGAAATCTTGCCATGAATGGTATTTTTTAAAAGAAAGTTTTGTTGATTTAATATGCCATGGATTTTTCTGGTCAGATCACAATGGCAGACATAACAGTTGACCACATGGAGAGTCATTTCCCTTAGCATATTAAACATTTGACTCCGGATTCATTCTATTAGGGATTGGCCATATGTATTCCTCAGGACACACCATGAGAAATATTGGCTAAATATCTGTGAACAGTGACATATATGGAGAGTTAATTTTTTTTTATCAAAAGAGGACTGAGATCAGATGCCCAGTGCTCATGGCAGTGTCATTTCTTCTATTGTGAAATATTCAGTTTGCCTGAAAGCTTCTTTTGTGACAAAATGAATAAAACATTTACACTTTAAAATAGCAGTGCTTTCTCATGAAATTATTGTTTGAAAATATATCTGTAAACTGGCTGAAATAGTTTAAGAACCTTGAAATCTATATGAAGCATTCTTATTAACGATAGCAATATTGTTGCTATATCATTATCTAGATATTGTATCTCCCAAAGTCCCATGCATTTAGAAGTGAAGTTTTTAGAAAGTGATTGATGAAGAGTTTAGGAAGAGATTATAAGGTATAATTCATTGGATGCTAGGAGATCTGGACTGTTAGCATTTGGTTAATGACCCATTACCTGCAAGAATGTATCTCTTTCCTTGATGCCTCTGTTCTCTCTCTGCTTTCTGTCTGCCATAACATGACCATATTTATTCCATTTAGGCCCTTTCTGTCTAGAACCAGCTAACTCTGGACTAAAGCCTCTAAAAACCATGAATGATTTTTTGTGTTAGCTATTGTGTTTAAGCTATGGGTGTTAGGTAATGTGATACAGGATGAATTAACTAGGACCTGGGATAAGGTATCATGTTTGAATGTAAAAAACAAAAAAAACAAAAACAAAAAAACAAAAAAACAAAAAAAAAACACTAGACAGGAAGTCTCTAGTTTCATGAATATCAAAGAATATTTTATCAGCAGAACTACAGGATATTGCACACATGCTCATAGTGCAAGTTGATAAAGTCACCAGTATTTATCTTGGAAAACTACTCTGTCGAAAAAAAAAAGAGTATATGCAGGTTTTAATGAAAAATACGTTAGGGTAATGAAATAACCCTCATATTACTGTTTGATTAGCAAGGGGATTTTTTAAAGTTACCTCAAGAGTGTAACATTTAAATTATATCTTTCATAGACTGGTATTTACAAGCTCATATTTACAGATCATTTTGGTTTCACTATTTCATCTGTTTTCAAATTTTAAGTCCTTTATTATACCATGTCTTGATAGTACTATTCTTTTGAGATTTTTACAATTATGACATCTTCAAGATATAAGGTAGGATATTTTCATTTTTAGATGGTCATTGCTTTTATTTTTCTATGCAACAGATGAGTTACTATAGGTACAGTTCCTGCATCACATTATGTTTTAAAGTAGTGCTGAAACCTTTGCTAATTTCTAGTCCTTCAGAGACTTTTTCTCCTAAAAGCAAAGAAGATATTTGTGTAGTTCCCCTGGGAGCTATCCACACAGACAGAGTAGGTGAAGGACAAGCAGTGGCAGTTCTGGTGGCCATGTGGACCACAGGCCTCACCAACTGAGACTGATGAAACAGTGATGGAGATTACTAAAGGCAACTCATTAGTGATCTGGAAAAGCTAGCTGATGTATTTGGTTACAGTGACAATCCCCTTTTACATGCAATCAGGGACCTCCTAAAAATTGGATAACTGGCACTCTGTTTACCCATAGCTCTTTATTGTGGAAAATGTTACTGTGGTGTTTAAAAACTTTATTCAGTTTTTGGTGAGCTCGAGTACCCGGTTAGCTAGTTACTTGTTTCATTCTTGATATCAGTTTCTCAAAACTTCCCAATGATATTTTCTCAGTAACCTATAACAAACATGTGACAATGTATGCAAATGGCTATTTCCTTTTTTTTTTTTTTTTTTTTTTTTTTTTTTTTGCTAAGGACTGAAACCAGCCATGGAGGCTTTCTTCATTACGATACTTACCCTTTGGATGATGGCTTGTTCAACTGATTCTGTGGCTCTGGCCATGACTGTAGGTCAGAGTATGCTGCTGCCCATAGTAAAACTTCTCATGGACAGTTACTTACGGTATACGATGGTGAGTAGGAACTGTGCACATCTGAGGGGGAATATTTTTCTAATCTTCCTTCTTACACAATCACAGTCAGGTAAAATTTGCTCTGAGAATTCTGTGCATGGGATTTTGATGCTTTCAAGAAATCATAAGCTGAAATTATTTATAAGGGAATTTAACAGCTTTCTTCAAAACTCATATACAACCTTTTTTCACCTCTGTTCTAATATACTTACTATAACTTGTTTAACATGTATATATTGATGATTAGCTTTCTTTCTTTCTAATAGCATATAACACAATTTTTATTATAAACATAGCAGCAACTATTTTCAAGAGCAATATTAAACCATATAAGCAACAAAAAGCAGACTAATAAAATGAGTAAGGAGAAACTAGTGACATTTAAATGATCTAAAATGTCTTTTTTCAATGGAAGAAGACCATGGTTCACAGACACGTAGTATTGAAAATAAAGCTCCTATAGCAATTTTGAGACTTATACCTCAAAATCTAAATCATTAAAACAGCAATGATGGATTTCCAAATTGAAAACATTTCATATAATTTTAAATAACTGGGAATATACTGAATTCTGACTTTCAAAATTGATGTTTTTAGGGGCAAAATTACACTGAAATTTATGTCTTAAGTGTTATTTCTTTTATGGAGAAAAAAAATCTCTTCTTTTTTTGAGACAGGGTCTTGCTGTGTGGTTCAGGCTGGCCTTGGACTCACTATGTAGCTCAGACTGGCTTCTAACTCTCCTGACTCTACATCCTGAATGCTGGGGTTACAGGGCTGTACCATCATGCCTGGGTGGATGATTAGCTTTTTAAAAAATTAAAACTAAAAAAAAATTATGATAGGCAGCTTCCTTCATAGAATATCGAGATTATCTTCTTGCCTGTTTCATTATAAATAGAGAAATTTTAGTTCTTAAGCATAGTAAAAATGATCTTTGTTGGATTTATTCCTCTCCAGAGTAAAAGTTAAGGTCTATGACAACTTAACATAGTGTCCATTGTATGAAATCCTTCTGAGTGTGTCTCGTATTTTTAAAAAAAGTTCTTTGAAATTTTCAGGAAAGTTCAAATTTTATTACTCAGTAGATCTCTCTGTAAGTACACTTTAGTCATAGGCCTTGGTAGATAAATCACAAACTCTTAGTCCCTAATATGAACTTAGACCCACAGTGCTACTTCCTGGGGGAGATCAGGCAATTCAGACAGTGGCAACAACAATCACACATGGATGATATTATGCACAGATATTACCAGCAATCTGCATCCCAGTATACTGACAGCAGCATATTACATCTTTCTGAATTACTAGAGATGGCAATATTCAGTGAAGAATCTGCATCCTGTACCTTGGCAATCACAAAACTGTTCAGATTCTGTCCAACAGTGTTACGAGTATCCAGAAAAGGATGAGTTGAAACTTTTCTGAGGACACATACTTGTAATCTGGGCACATTAGAAAGAGATAATCACTTACAACTCCCCAACAACATAGGTGAAGAGATATTTCAAAACTGAAGTCCAAACTTCAACACAGAGGCCAAACTAAAATGAGAAAATAAGACAACAAGATGCCTGCACAAACAAATACACTGCTCTGCAAAATCTAACCTCACATTTGAGGAAGCAGATGAAATTAAGGCAAAGAATTAAAAACCAGATAATTACACTCACCAATAGGATCAGTAAACAGATAAACAGCAGATGAATGAGTGAACTACTAAACTGACCTATGAGCTCAAATAAGATATGAAAAGCAACTGAATAATTATAGAAGTTAATGCAGAGTCTAAAATACTATTTCAGTAAGTAAGAGAAGCTTTGGTAAAGAATCAAGTAGAAATTCTGAAGGTGAAAACATTGATCAATTAATTTAATTAAATTTAAAAACTCCACTGAAAATTTATGCAGCAGAGAAAGTCAAACACTATAAGTTTCTGGTGCCAAAGATCTATAAGTGCTGGAATATATAGTAAGGATAGGAAAAGAAGAAGAGCAAACAACACCAACACAAATACAAAAGAATTTCAGTACAAATCTAAAAGAATGAATTTAAAGTCTGTTGGATTAGTAGAAGGGGTTGAAATAAATGATAATGTATTAAGAAAATTTAAAATAAAAAAATATGAAAGCATGACAGACACTACTGAAATCCAGGTTACATCAGAATGAAATTACAGCAGAAAATTTCCTAAAATTTGGAAGCAAGACAAGAAGGCATTTAGAACTACACATAAACAGACTCAGAAAAAAAAAAAAAAAACTCCCTGTAAAATACTGCAGTCAAAAGGCAGAGCAAAGCAACAATATCATAAGGTGTTAGGAGAAGTGCCAGGTCACTTGTAAGGTCAAATCTATGAGAAAAACAGCAGATTCCTCAAAAGGATCAGGACTAATTAGAATAATTTTTTTAAGAACTGAAAGAAACTATTTGTCAACCCAGATTTGTGTGTTCTACAAAGAATATTTCAAAATAAAAGGAAAAATAAAGACCTCTGTGTTAAAAATAAACTAGACAAATTCATGCCTGGCAAGCTGACATTGCTGGAAATGCTTAAAGGAATCCTCAGTACAAACAGACATGACAACAGCTGAGAGACCATGGGAAATAGAAAGATCAATAAAAGAAAAGATAAAAGAATAAACAATAGAAAGGAATCAAATACATGAAATGCAAGAAAATGACAGAGCATGCACACAGCTTTTACTAGCATTCCCTGTTCATAATTGTAACTCTTTAACTGAAAGACAATTGTAAAACGAGACACAAACAAGTACAGATCTTGTAGCAGAAACAAAAAGATAAGTTTGCAGTAGAATTTAATGAAATTAGACCTTTAAAAAAGCAGGAAGAATCTGCAAACCAAAGATTTGTTCCTTTGAAAGGTAAAGAAAATTGATAAACCTTTGGCATAAGTTACCAAAAGAATGAAAAGACCCCCCCGCCTTTTTTTTTTTTTTTTTTTTTTTTTTTTTTCTTTTTGGTACTGGTGATTTAACTCACAACCTGACACTATGTCAGGAGCTTGCGACACTTAGCTAAAACCGGAACATACACAAGATGGTTAAGATAATTGTACTCTTGATCTTATTAGTGCGGAGAAAGAAACTGTGATTGCTTATATTGTTTCATCTGTTTTACATGCCTGTATCTTGGAATCTAGCAACTGTTTCGAAGACAACAGTATGCAATAGAATGATTATTATCAATCTCCTATCAACTTGTTTCGAACTACTATATTGGTTCTGTTTGGTTTTTATTGTTTTGTTTTCTTTTAATCTCTTTAAAATAAAAAATGGGAAGGCCCAAAGTAAGAAAATTGAAAATAAAAATAAGAAATTACAACAGACAACAGAAATCCAGAGGAACATCAGAAGGTGCCATCAAAATTTATGTCCCAATTGCTTGGAGAATCTGGAGAAATGGTTAAATTCCTAAATATGAACGAAGTACCTAAGTTGTACCAATAATATATACAAAATCTAAGCATGTCAATAGCAAGTGATAAGCTTGAGGTAGTATTAAACAATCCCAATTAGGAAAAGCCTAGGACCAAATGAATTTGTAGCTGATTAGATATATCAGAACTTCAATAATGAACTAACACCAATGACCACCCAGTTTCAATAAAATGGAAAGCATATATTTCTTACCAAATACACTCTATGACAGCAGCAGTATCCTAATACCAAAACCAGATAATGATTCTGCAAAGATGGAAAAGCAACAAATTAACATGTTGCGTGGATATAAATGCAAGACTCCTCAATTAGGGCTTCATTAACAGAATTCAGCAGTATATTTGATAAATCATGCATCACGATCAAGTTGGTTTTATCTCAGGAATTAAAGAATGATTAAACATATGTAGATCAGGAAATATAATGCATCACATAAATAGATTAAAAAATAAGTCATATTATCATTTTAAATATATCCTAAAAAAGCATTTGACAAAAATTCAACACTCACTTCTGTACTCAAAGAACGCTTGTGCAAATGGGTATGAGTACCTTACCTGAAAATGACAAAATCCACATCTGTTACACCCACATCAAATATCATATTAAATGAGGAAAATACCTGAAATAATTTTCTTTAACATCTTAGAAGAGACAAAAGTATCTATTCCTATCACTCTCATTCAATATAAAGCTTGAAATTTTGGTCAGAACAACCAATAATTAGAAAGAAAAGGTATGTTTCAATAAGAAAATGAAGTTATGTTTTTTTAGCAGGCACTGTGATTCTTTACAACAAATATCTAAAAATACTCCACCAGATTTCTTTTATACCTGACATACAAGTTGAGCAAAGTGGTGGAATGCAAAGCCAATAAATAAAAATAAATTAGTGTTTCTGTACATCAATGATGAACCAACCCATTGAGAAGGAAATCAGAAAAATATTTCTTCACTAATGCTTCAAAATTTAAATACTTAGAAATAAGCATAACAAAAGGTGAAATTCTTACTTGAAGAAATTCTTACTGTGTGAAATTCTTACTGTGAAGAAAGAAATTGAAGTAGGAAATAGACAATGGAAAGATATTCCTTGTTCTTGATTGGAAGTGTGAAATTTTTTTAAATGGCCATAAAAGAGATCTATACATTCAGTGCAATCCCTGTTAAAATGCAGTATTAGTCAACAAACTGGACAAAACAATTGTGAACTTCATTAAAATGAAAAAAAGTATCAAAATAGCAAAAGCAGTCCTCAACCAAATCAGCAATGGTGGTGGCATCATTATACGTATCTCAACTGATCTAGAAGGAGAAAATTAAAATAAAATAATATTGCACAAACTATAAATGTTTGCTAATAGAAAAAAGATACAGAAACAAACACCTACAAAGGAAAGTGCAGAGATAAAGGAAAGTGCCTGCATTGTTTCTAGGAAGGTAAACTACTGAAAGCTCTGTGGAAATCGTATGCAGATTCCACAAAGTTCTACACCAGTGATGACAAACCTTCTATAGTCAAGTTCCAAATGACAACTCAAAATCCACTTATTACAGTGTGCCAACACTGCAATTAAACCTCAAAATTGAGATTTTAGTTTAGGAAAAAAAGCATGGACATTAACATCTTTTGCCTTAAGAGATAAATAAATAACATGTGTGCCATAATTTTGCCACCACAGGATATATACATCAGTTAAAATACCATTAACCCAGGTTACAAAAATTGGGTATATCCCAGGTAGAATCATGGACTATATTCTGTCATGATGTGTTCATAGCCACTTTGTATCATTGTAATTCACAATGGCTAAGCTGTGACATACCCATTAACAGTCAAACGGATTAGCAAAATGCAATGTATATGTATAATGGAATATTCCTAAGCCATAAAGAAGCACGGAATGAAGTCATTTGTAAGAAAATGGATGGAACTAGAAACTATCATGTTACATGACGGCCAGTCACAGAGAATTAAATATCAAAATTTCTCTTTTGCAATTAACCTAAAAATATATAAATTAATATGCAGTTAAAATAAAGGGGAAAAAAGGAAACCATGAAGAATAGTTTAGGAATGGAGTGGGAGCCAAGTTATAGGGACTGAAAATGAAGGAATTGAAATTAACACGTTAAAGCTTATACCAAATCTCCAAACTGAATTCCATCATCATGGAATATTAATATGCACTAATACAAGACAAGGCTAAACCAGTGAAACATTTGTAAGTTCACAGTACTCAGTCACCACCTTTCCGGGCTTGTGGAAGTCTTGTATGTTCACATATCTGCTTATCTTTTTTCAAAATTAGTGACCTAGTTTTTGTCTACCTACACTAAATTTTGCACTCACATAAGTGAGTTATGAGAATAATGGAACATTTTCTCTTACAGTATCAGAATTCTTTGCCTTTTAAAACACAGATTCTTTCTGATTTGGGAGTATATTTCATTAAATAATAAGTAGCGATTCTAAGTCAGTGGTGCTGAACATGTAGTATGCATCCCACGGTCTGTTTGTTGTCACTGAAAACTCTAAAAGGTTTGCCATCACTTCTGTAATTGCACTTTGCAAATCTTTTTTATTACACATTTGAATTTGGCAGCTATCAATGTAGATACCATTGAGAAAGTACTATGCTTTGTGATCCACTATACAAAATGTATCTCAATATACAAAAAGGTTTTCTTTGATTTATTTGATGCCTCTACAGATTGTTAAGAAACCAATATTATAGATAACTTTAAATTCAGTCATATAGCTCTATTTTCCCAGGGCTGCTCTACTGTAAACAAAACATTTGGTTAAGTGATGTAGACATGCATGCACACTCATCAGCAACACTGATGTTATTTGCATATCCTAGTCGCCCTTGTTCCAGTTAGGACAAGATTTGTGTGAACCTCACGGTACTACTAGTCCATCTTGTGAAGTTCAGGCATCATCATCATCATATTGCTTTTGTGTCAGTTTAAATTGACCTCATTATCTGCTATATTTCAACAACTTCTGGTGATCGGTGATCATCAGTTCTTCATTTTGGGCTATTGTACACATGATTCTGACCCTAAGTTATGCAAATACATTCCAAACTATTGTAGATAACATTATTTTTTTTAAAGAAATTAGAATGGGTTATGTGATGGTTGGTATTGTTCTGGTCTGTTTGGTCAAGATATTTAGGAGCAAAAAGGAGTGTTGTGTCTTTAGAATACTCAGTACGTTTGGCCTATCAGGTTCATCAGTACTCTGTTGAAAGTTTCTGTTAAATTTACTCAAAAATATGTAAAACAAAAGTTAAGTCTATAATGAATAAATACCTTTTTGTTTTCTTGTCACTATTTTCTAAACAATACTGCACAGGTAGTTTGTGTAGTATCAGTTACAAGGTAGTAGCATTCTTGAAAAAAATGTTTTCTAGAATTCCTCATAAAATCCTCGGACTGTTGTGATTCATGGTTTTTGCTTTTTTGTAGTTGCCCTGGTTTATGAAATTTCTCTTTAGAACCAGTGAGTCTCGGCTACTGTGGCTTCAGAACATTGGTATCCCATACTTGGGCCTGACGGTAATTGTATTTGTCTGTCTTTGTGGCTGCATTCTTAGGCTGAAAACACCCAAAATGAATCCTTGCCATCTGCTTTTTCTAGCCACTTCTCTAAGGACCAGTGACTATGAAATCCCTATTAGCTGTGGTTAGCACAAAGTCAAGGAGTGGCCTGGAGTTTTCTCCAGTCTCCCTATTCTCTGTGGGAGTTGAAGGATGGGGGTAAATCTCACAGTATAGGGAAGACTGATCAAATGGTGGAAATATATTGTTCTGTTGAAGTTCAATAAAGAAATATATGAGATGATAGGGAACTGGAATGCACAGTTTGCATCTCACCTAAGAACAAAAACAAAGACCATGTAATTTTTTCTCAGAGCCAGACTTGTTTTCACATGCTAATCAACCTCAAAGCAAATTGTGTCTTTTTAAATTTTAATATAATATAAGGGGACACCAATCAAGAATATGTAAAAATGCACTCTTCTTACTTCTAAGAAAAAAACAAAATATAATAATTAGAAATTACAAAGTTAACTCACGGGGTATCATAATCCTAAAGGAGTAAACAAGTGTTACTCACAGTAAAAGTCATAGGAAAAAAAAGACTGTTTCTTGCAAAGAAGAGACAAGCAAAAAAGCACAACACTTTCTCTTTAATAAACTCATGAGAATTTACAATATCAGTGGCTAGCTCCCATGATTGCAACTGGTTTTGATAAAAGCAAAGAGGAACAAAAGATGGTTGCCACAAATCAACACTATTCCCTGAGAATCACTCGTATCAGACCAAGTTTAGTGTTTGTGGGTTTATGATATGATGGAAAGAAGGACAGCACTACAGTCCAAGATACCAGTGGTCTCCTTCTTGGCCAATTGAAAATAGTTTCCCAACCCATAGGCCTCTTTGATGCCAAGAAAATAAGCCTAGTTGCTTTGCTGTGAAAAGGACTGTGACGTGAAACTTAATATGTTTTCAAGAAGAAGAAGAAGAAAAAAAGATAAAGTACAGGGATAAAATTGTGATAAATTCATTGGAAAACTTTTAAAATTTGAAAATGTTTACTTTGCTCATATTCCCATTGCATATTAGGCTTTGCAAGATAATGAACTTTTGGGGCAAAACTTCTGTCCTGGCCTCAGTGAAACTGGAAGCAATGGCTGTCCCAACTATGTAATGTAAGTCTGTATTTGATGTAAAATGGATTTGTTCCATCCTTTGAGGCCATGGGGTAAGGGCCTTGGGCTTACAGTTGATATAAATCCTTTCAGTGAACAAATCATTCTGCATCTAAATTATTCCATCTGTAAATGAGTTATTCTGTAATAATGCAGGTGAGCATGCTGCACAGCTGGTGTCCTTCTGTAGTTAATATACTTAAGGCAGAGAAATAATTGAATACTGCTAAATCTATTTTGATGTTTTGATGGTTGGTGTATACTTTTTTCTTTGAGGAGACCTGAGTTTCAAATGTGATGCTTTGATAGTGAATCAAAAACATGCAGTGTCTGATATCTGTGAGCACAATCCATGGAGCTAAAAGGGAAGCGGCAACTCAAAGGAACTAAGTGCTCCTAATCAGAGATCATGGCAATACTGTTCCTCAGGCATTAGAAGACATCATGAAATAAAAATCTGCAGAGTTGTATGTGTTGTAGTGTGTCAGTGGCCTGTTAAATACATCATCTAAAGAAAGAAATATATCTTAATACATCAAGAAGGGCATCTCATTTTTATAGTGGCAAAAATGAGAAGGCTATTTTAATAGAGTTAGAAGATCTAGTTTTGCAATTTTAATGATATTTTCCCTTTCCATGCTTGTTCTAAATAATTGACTCTCATGCATTAGCTTATATGAAGAGTAAATATTACTTTTTTTTCATGGAATCTTCTGATGCACGAGGCAAAGAACATTGTCAGTATTGAGGCTGGTCCACGTCCTTTTCCTTTACGCTGTGGCTTCCCCTTTAAATCCTATTGGTCCTCACAGCTTGGGCTCACAGGTAGCTGTATATGCTTTGCTCAACTATCAAGAACCTTAAATTTACTCAGATGAAGTCATGTTATATTTCATACAGTGTGTAAATTATTCTTAGAATCGACACACATTTCTGTTTTGAATTAGTGGCTGTAAAAGCCTGTATGAACAGTGGTTCTCTTCACTCAGCCCACCTATTTAGCTTTGATCCAGGTGTGGCAAACTTGTAAGAACAATTTAGAGTCAGCCTGCTGATGAGAAGGAAGTGAATAGAAAAAGAAGAAAAAGTAAAGGAGGACCTGTTATAGACCTTGTAATAGTTAATGCATTGTGGCAACTTGAGAAGTTTAAAAGTTTAACTAAATGAATCAGCAAGGGGCCAGAGTCCTCACTTTGTAAACCTTCTCATCCTGGACAAAAGAAGAATATGGAGATGATGTGGGTTCTATACCAGATGGAGGTAGTGGTAGTCTGCATACAATATAAAGGAGGGAAATAGGTTTGTTGTCCCCCTCTTTCTTCTCTTGCTATTTTTTCTGTCTTCTGTCGCCTTGAGCTGTTGCCCTTGTACCATGTCATTTTGCTATGCAGCCAGCTGATTATGCACTGAAATGTCCACAAACTGTGAGTTAAGTAAACCTTCCCTTCCTCAATTTTGAATATCATATATTCTGTCTCAATATTGAAAGAAAATTAACCATGACAGGCTTTAAAGGAGAAAAAGGCTGGGAGTGTTTTTACTACTGCCAAATTCAAAGACATACACAAGAATGGGAACAGACTAAATTTTAACTCCCATAGGTACTTTTAGTCGAGGGACTTTTATATCTGTAGCAGGACAAGTCCACTATTCTTTTCTGCAGTTATCTAAGATTTGAATCTGATACCTGGACGTATTGGTAATATCTTGGAGCTCAGGATTTTTGATGTTCATCAATCAAGAAAAAAGAACTGATAAAATGCTATCTGACCAAAGCCCTTATTCCCTGTGGTCATACTTTTAGGATTTATAGGCTGGGTTTTGGATGGCTTTCTTATGGTTAAGCAGGATGACAAGGATCTTTGAGTTTCTTAGCAAGGGCTGTGGGGTCACAGGATAACCCTCTGTATTGCTCATCATATAAATAGAAAATATTTGATAAATATATCCTTTGAAGAGAACAGCATTATACATTTTGAAACAAATGAATCAGAGAAGATTAGAAATAGAGCCTCACCCTGAAATTTAGAAAAGTTTCTTAATCCTAATCCAATTCTTCTTTAGAAGTGTATTATATCTCCTCTCTGCACTGTTATAGAGATTAGTTACCTAGATAGTATCTAACAAATGATAAACACTCATGAATTACTAGCACTATAAGTTGAATGATTTTTACTAACATTTTGTTAATATATTGGATTCTTTATCAAAGGAATAATAATGATGTCGAGTAAAACTTAACATGTATTAATAACAAAACTATGTCACTTTTGTCATTAATTTCAGATGTACTGGTGAAGAATTCCTGACAAGTCTGGGTGTTGATATCTCCCTTTGGGGCCTATGGAAGAATCATGTAGCTTTGGCTGTTATAATGATTGTCTTCTTCACAATTGCTTTCTTAAAATTGTTACTCTTTAAAAAACATTTTTAAATTCTCCTTAATGTATTGCGAATTACATTCATATTAAATGTGGCCATGGTGATCTTTTTAAGTGTCTTAAAGTTTCCTTTCCTTTCCCATCACTTGCCATCACATTGTTCAGCAACAATTAGTTTTCACCTAACTATTCACTAACATTAGAACAAACTGGATTATACTTGGAAGACCTCAAGCCAAACATTAAAGTGATTGTACAGTGCTTATTAAATCATGTTCTCAGACAACAATCATGGGGAAGTACTCTAATGTATTGAACTGAAATATGAAAATGTATTTCTAGAAAGCCTAGACAAACCATTAATAAATTTGGTGATATGTTCTACTTCTTCTTTTTTTTTTTTTACTAGGAATCGAGTGTTCTACTTCTTTTAAATGAATAGATAACCTAGACTATTTTTTATATTCTATGAATCTACAGCCTGAAATTCTTTTATAGATAACAAAAAGATGGATGCTCTATTAGAAGAACAGATTGTAACATGTTTTGGAAATCAAACCATTGTTAACATAGCATTAAGAAAATTGAGAGCAGAGAATGTGTCTGCTAGCATTGTTGGTTGGTAGAACTTATTGCTACTCCTCTGCAGACAATTGTAATGTCTCAGGCTTATGTGAAGAGATCTTTGGTTCTTATACCATTTTGGGGACATTCTCATCCTCTGTTCTCCCTTTTGGGACAGGTAAGTAGTTTATAATCTGTGTATCAGAATCTGCTCCAAAACTCTGCTAAGACACATGAGTGGATCCTGCCTCATCGTTATGAAGTATCTGAAGTGTTGCTTCTTGAACAGCTGACCACTCATGGACTCAATCATTCCCAAGATCCTTGCCAAACTAGAGATTCTAGATTTGAGGCTGACTGTTGTATCTATCCCTGTACAAGCCTCCTCTACTTGCCCACCAGTTTATTTCCATATCACTCTCAATTTGAAATTTATATTAAAACTATGGGCAGCAGATGTGATCAATTTGAGGACAGGGTGTCAGAAGTGGAAAGTAATGTTGTTGCTGCTGACTGATTAATGAGAGGTGTCTTAAAAACTAAAACAGTACATGATAAATGAAACCAACAGGTAATAGACAACTGAAAGGAGATTAATCTAAGATCAGGTGGAGTTAACGAAGAATAAGAAGAGAAAACAAATGGCATGGAAAAACTCTTACCTGAAATAATGACAGATATCTTAACAAGAGGGTAAAAAGAATGTAACATAGAGACGAGTGAGGCACATAGAACCCAAATAGCCACAAGAGAAAAGTAACTCACCATGACACATCATAATCAAAATCCCAGAATTTCCACAGAAGAACAAAGTCTTAGAAGCCAGTAGAGAAAATCAACAAATCACTTATTAGGAAAACTTGTCACAGTTACAGGAATTTTCTCAACACACAATTTAAAGGCCAGGAGTGAAGTGAAGTGTTTCAAGTCCGAAAAAGAAAGTGTATCCTTGAAAATATCTTTCAAAAGAGATTGACAAATGAGATAATTTCATAATAAAGAGCACCAAAATCAAAATACATAACTACCAAGAAAGTCCTTCAAAAATTCTCAAGGATACTCTAGAAACAGACAATGAAGTGAAGCATAACAAAACTCTAATAAATGGATATGCCATCTATTAGGAACAGTTATGTAAACAGAGAAAATAAGGAATCAGTGACAAAAGATAATATTGTGAAAGCAATACATTGTATAACTATCAATAATAACTACCAAGTCTCAATTTTCTAATCAAAACATATAATGGTCAGAATGAATTAAGTAAAAGCATGCAGTGGCTTATGTTATAAAAGGCATTTAACTCAAAAAGAAATCAATCAATGGAAAATAATATCCCGCATAATGGAAACTTGAAAAAATAGGAGGTGTAGCCACCTTAACCTATTTATAGACACACTGAACTTTAAATAAAACTGAACAAAAAGGACAAAGATGGTAACATATTGGTTAAGGTGACAATCAAACACCAAACAACCTCACAAAAGAGCATCAAACAGCATCACAACTTTTTCAAACAATCAATAATGAATGTAAAACCAGATAATCATAGCCAGAATTGTAATGTACGACCTCATTATCCCACTATGACAGGTAGATTGATCACTGAGAGAAACAAAAATAAATCAAAGATGGAAAAACAGTAGAAGCAATGGACTTAATGGATATCTGCGCTTGTTTCACTGAATGACAATAGAATGCACATTCTTTTCAGCAGCAAATGGAACTTTCTTGAAAATAGACCACATGGTGGCCAATAAAGGAACCTTAACGAAATAGTAAGGAGATCTGAAATCATTACATGCCATGTTACTTGATGATTGTCCAAGGAAACTAGAAATCAAGCACAAAAGAAAACATAGAAAATATGCAGATTTATGGAAAATGAAAAAAATGCTCTCAATAAATAATGGTTCACATAAAACAAAACAAGGAAGAAATAATGTAGTTTTGAGAAATAAATGAAAAAATAGTATACCGTACCCAAACCTTTGAAACACAATGAGGGCACTAATATGAGTGAATTTTGTGGGTTTCTTAAAATTTTAAATTGATTAACAGAAAACAAGATAGTAGAAACAAAATAAAACATTGAAAATGACACAGGTCTTCAAAACAAGCTGATAGGACATTAGCAGTGGTCAGTATATTGCAGATCATTGCCTTCAAAATAGTTGTTCAGACTACAAAATACAGGCATACAAAACAGACTGAACAATATAAGTAATCACAGTATCCTTAACTATCTTGTATACAATTTCTTTCACTTTCTTTCCCTTTTCTACTTCTCTCTTTTTCCTCATCCTACTTGTTCTTTCCTTTTAGCAGTTTCTTTCTCTTTCACAATATTCCCTGTCTAGTTTTAGGGTTTGGCATGTGGAAAGCTAATTTTTCCAGCACTGATTTATAAAGAAGCTATCTTTCTCCCAGTGAACTTGTTTGACTTCTTTGTCAAAGATAAGGTGCTTCAGTGTGTTTATAGTTCTGTCTGCGTCTTCCATTCTGTTTCATTAATTCTCAGGTCTGTTTTATTGACAGTATCACTCTGATTATATCACACTAGATTTGTAGTATAATTTCAAGTCAGAGATTGTGATGCCATCTGCTTTGCCCTAGTTGCCCAGGATTGCCTTTGCTATTCTAGGTCTCTTCTGGATCCAGATAAATTTTAGAAGAGTTCTTTTGATTGATCTGTGAAGTATGCTAATGGTATTGTGTTAGGGATTACTTTAAACCTGTCTGACAATTTTGAGAGTATGGCCATTTTCACAATGATTGTTTTTCATACCCATGAACAAGAGATGTCTTTCATTTTCTGAAATCATTTTTTAACAGTTGTGTAATTTTCAATGTATAGGTCTTTTACTTGCTTTGTTAGATTGATTCCTATGTATTTCATCTTAAGGATACTATTGCAAAAGTTTTGGTTTCCCTAATATTTCTCCCAGAAAGTTTTTTTGTCTGTGTACAGGAATGTTATTGATATTTGAGCGCTGAATTTGTATCCAGCTACACTACTGAATTGGATTATTAAATCTAGAAGTCTTTCAGTGTAGTGTTGGTGGTCTTCTATGTAGAGTACCATGTCATCTGCAAATAATGATAATTTAAATTTTTCCTTTCCTAACCTTATTCCTTCTATTTCTCCCTCTTGTCTAATTATTCTGACTAATATTTTTAGAAGTATATTGAATAGGACTAGTAATAGAGAGCATTCTTGTGGCTGATTATAATTTGAAAGTTTTTATGTTTTGTTCATTTACTATGATGTTGACTGTTGGTTTGTCATTGATAGATTTTTATCACATTGAGTTACAGATGAACTATTCCCAATTGCTGTAGAATATTTATTATGAATGAGTATGGGATTTGTCAAAACTTTTTCTGCCTCTATTGAGATGATGATGTGGTTTTGTCTTTGGCTCTGTTGATGTGGTGCATTACATTTCTTGATTAGAGTATGTTGAACCATCCCTGAATTCCTGTGATGAGTAACACTTGGTCATGTTGTATAACCTTTTTGGTGATTTGCTGCATTCTGTTTGCCAGTATTTTATTGGGAGTTTTTACATCTATATTCTTTAGTTTCCTCTGTGATCCATTGGTTGTTTAGAAAAGTGTATAATTTTCGTATGTTTATACATTTTTTTTTCAGTTTCATTTTTCATTAATTTCAACTTTCATTGTACTTTGGTCAAAGAATATGCATTTATTTGCATTTGCTTAAGCTGTTATATTTTTTACCCGTATCTTCTTTAGATATGTTCAGCATTTCTTTCATTATGTTTAACGTTTCATGTTTGGCCTCAAAGATTATTTCTGATCTAATCTCCTTCATAGCCTCATGGAGTTCTTTACTTCAGTTGTTATGATTTTAGAAATTTCAGATGTATAACTTACAATCATCTATGTTCATGTTTGCTGGAGTCTTGGGGTGGGTTAGAGGTTTAAGATTATGTTTTGCTCTTGCAGTTTGTCATTTTCCTGTGTTACCTAGGAGCAGCATAATTGCAAAGTCAGGCCAAATACAGTTCATGCTCCCTGGTTGTTTGGATTCACTGGGCAGGACCTTACCAGGTTCCTAGAAACTTCCCACCTGGGTGGAATACCACAATAGCAGTTGTATAATTCTACCTAACATGATATAGCATACAGAATGGAAAGCAATTTTGTCAGCTATCCCTTGAATAATGGACAAATATATAGAATATACTGAGAAATCAAAAAATTTGCACCCACTCAATGAAATACTGAATAAAAAAGAGACAACTGAAATAGAATATGTCATATGAATATATATAAATTATAGATGGCCAATAAATATATGAAAGAATATTTACCTTCTCTGTTAGTAATAAGGGCATAAGACTGGGTCCAGTGGACCAATCCCTATTTTCTACTGGAAATCTCTACCTTAGCTCTATGATACATGGCTGTGCATCTCAGTACCTTCCTGTGAGGGATACAGGAAGCAATCTATATGTTGATCCACTTGATATGACAAATGCTAAGGAGTGTGTACATGTGCAAAAAGTGTCAAAACAGG